ATGCTCACAATCTGACATTGACAAAGTAGAAGAAAGAACAATGAAAAAAAACAAGGTAAAACAAACCAGATGAAACTGTCAACATCTGTCAGAGAATCTTCGCGATGGGGCCAACCTGACCCATCTCTCCAGGTTCCCGGGCCCAGCACCGAAGGGAATAAAGGCATAGTCACTGGCCTCAAACGACCACAGGATCCTTCTCGGCTCCCTTGGCGACTCTTAATGTAGGCTGTAAAGTACTGGGGATAGAACGCTGAAACAAATCCAAAGATCTACGTTGTTTACAGGGTATATCATGGTATATCACTTATCAATGCACATCAAATCCATGAAGTCAAAATGCAATGCATATGCAGCATTATCTAGGTGGGTAGTATATCACATTACAAACATCTAGCAGCTGCGATACTATTGGACTTCAATGCCCGTCACTTCCCTGGCCATGCTGGGCATCCCGAGCGATCTCATTCGGGTAGAGCTGGCTTTTCCAGCCATCTGGGTCGTATCCAGCCTCAGCAACCAATTCTGCTGCCACGCACCAAGGGCAGTGCAAAGTAGAAAAATGCAGTGCACACACACACAAAAATATTTATATGTATATATATATATACATAGCCATATTAATATGAGCACTGTATATATAATTGTATATATGTAAATTTATGTGTGTATATATATATATATATGCGTTGCACATCAATAGACCATAGTTGTCCATAGTTCCATGCTGTCAACAAAGTCTCGCTCTGCATAGAAATGTTCCGCCAAGGGGTGGCCGGAAGGTCATTTCGCAATGCTGCTGGACAAGGTGCAGAGAATTTGTCAAATACCATGGCACCCTACATTGTACATCCATTAATCAATCATATCATGTTTATCCGATTTATGCGTATAGATTGCTTGTTCGTTTCCAGCTCCCCTACTACTAAAAATTTAGCTGGTATAGTGGTTATGTACAGATTATCATTATCCACAAAAAAAATCAAGGGAATTGCTGGGAATCGCCAGGATTGTATACATGTTTAACAATTGTTTAACTGTTTGTCCCTCTGCGCAGCTGTGCTTCAAGCCCATCCTGGAACGTCGGGATTTGTATACCTCGGCAGTTGTAAAATCGAAGGGATCGTTGAAGCCAATTTCAATCCCGCCACAAGTAATTCTCCATAATTATCCCCAGGAACCTGGCAATCACTTGTGCAGAAGCTCAAGGATGATTTGGATTGCAGCTTTCAGAATATGGAAATCAGAAATCAGCACCGCTCATTAGGGGTAAGTGTTGTTCCTGTTCCGTTAGGTCAATCCAGAAGTGTTCACCCACCGGCTACACCGCAGGAGACGAATCAACGAGAGACTTTCGCTTGAAGCGATCCGGGTCGTAGGTGTTGGGATTGGGCCAGTACCTGTGGTCGCATGCCAGGGCCCAGTCAGCCAAACCAAAACATAGGAGACGAATGCAAATTGGAAGAAACTGAATCATTAATCCTTGAAATCATCTAAAAGAATTCAACGTGCGAAAGCTGGATGACATACTCAGGCACCGCAAGAAATACACAAACACACCGGCAATGTAAACAGGAAGTAGAACAATTGCGAGTGGTGTGTTTTTTGAAGCTGTTCATCCTTGCAACAGCTTGACCATCTTCAACAAGCCAGTGGGCACTTCTCATCCCTATGGAGGTTGTAAATAGATACCTTGGTCTAGACCCAGGGCCATGGCCGATACCAAAGATGACGCACAGTGCTTGAGTGCTGACAACCAAGAACACAACTACTAGTACATCAAAAAAGAGGGGAGCTCGTCAACATGTGTTAATTGCAGTGAAAGATCTTACCAACTGCTGGTGGATCTGCCTTGGAAGTGACTCCAAAGTTTCCTGGGGCTACGCTACAGCCACCCCAAGCCCCATACGAAGAAGTCCATCCCTCTCAGCACCTTTGTCTCTGTTCCTGTTGCTCCGGCCTCGTGTTTGATCGCAGCACTAAAGACCTTCGAAAAAAAACAAACGGCATCAAACGGCTATCAATGTGTGACAGGTTGCAGAGGTCAACTATCACCCATTTGATGAGTAGACCAGTGCCAGTTAAATCAAATCGGCAATCTTTTGTGGTAATCACCTGGGCCCCCTGGTCCCCTGGAACCCGCCAAATCCGCACAAATTCTTCGTGGGAAATCATGAGCTCGAGTGAATTTGAGAATTCAGATTTGTCCTCACAGTCCACTGGTATAGCGTTTAGTAGGTCAAAATTCACATCACCATCGTTCTAAAATAATCTCAATTGATTGGTGCCTTAGTACGGGCACCTACCATTTCATAAAAGCTTGAAGTGGCTGGCATTTTTGGTTAACACGCTCCATTTTACCGAATTGCAAACAGATTTGCTACGACATGCTACCCAGAAAAGTTCCATGTGGATGTGGCACCTGGTTTTGTCGGAGCTCCTGAGCTTCCCCGACTGGCAAGGTGTCCTCATCCAAAGCCCGTCGAATCAGAAGAGGCGGTTCTGGATACCTGGTTGGAAATTCCCACAGGCTTCGGGATGGAAAAATGATGTTTCAATCATCTTCTCCCATCCACAATCCTCAGCAACGGGGGCATGCTTGATGATGCTTGATGACTGGTGCTGAGTTGTTTCAAAGATCTGGCAAGCTGCAGAACATGAATTTCATGGCTCGTTGATCTCTGGTGACTGGTTATGCAGTACTTGGGGCAAAGGTATGGCCAGCAGCTACAACCAATTACATTTGGAGAAAAGAACTGTACATACAGAATCATAGAAATCTCGCGAATCTCGTGTTATTTGAAAGCTCACAATCCTGCACCCTGGGGCACATTCTGAGGGACTCAGCAAGGCACAAGCGGAGCAGCTCCATGTCTGACACAACCGTGGCAAGGCGACCGTGGGCGTGGTTCTTCCGAAAGATGACATACTCACATGCACAAACATGTTTAGAATATCTAAATAAACAAATATATATAATATTATATATATATATTATATTTATTTGTTTATCTATGTCGCATATGTTTGCATTAGGTTTACAGTAGTCACACAGTAGATCTGAGATGTGTGATGTGTGGGTGTGATGTGTGTGTGATGCGTGCGACGCGTTTGCGGTTTTGCCCTGGTTTCAATAGCCCATAGCCACTGATAGCCACGTCATTCCAGCGGCCGGACCATGCCTTTGATGTCTTGGTAGGTTGGACCTGGGGGGGCTAGCAGATTTTTTTTTCCAGATGCCAAACGGCCAAACGATGCTCCCAAGTCCAAGCATTCCAATCGCTTTTTATCTTTCAATTTGGCTGTTGCCGAGTCTGTCCGGAACGAGACACATTCTGCCCTCAACTCTGCCACACGGACATGCGCGGCACAACTGGTGCGTGTCCGAAGCCGAACGTTGAAAGGTGGGAATGTTGGGATTGCGCGCCAAATGGCTGTGACTTAGTTGTGAGGGTAAACCATGATAAACCGCTCAAATCTACTTCAGAATCTTTAGACGTTTTTAGTTCCAGCCATTTTTACTCTTAGGTGTCTCCCCTGCGGGGGCTGACTTTGATTTTGGGCCCCGGTTTCTGCAAACGCCTAACAGGCTCATGAACTCCTTTTCCTGTGCTTGGCTGCAGGAAATCCATTTTGGATACATACTTCGGGGGTGTTTTGGGATCTACCCATTTTTACATACGTTGATGATATGTTATGTGGGATATATTATATATATATATTATGCAATATATTGCATTATATGTTATATATATATATATGTAACTAGTACCCTACAACCTCTGACGTCAGGGCAACCATTTGTATAGGACCCAGGTCATGGCTTCAAGTTTATAAAATTGGTGGTGGTGGAAGCTTGGTTTGATTCCCCAGGAAACACCGGTGAACCAAAAAAAAGTGCCTTACAAAATGCTTGCCCCAACCTCAAATCCCGGGTCCCAAGCCAAGTCATTTTTATAGACTTTTGTCATATATAAATTGGTTGACCTGGAAATATGTCGGATGTCTAACTTGTACCGATCCCACTTCCCCGCGAAACAATGCAATCCCTTTTCACAGTCCCGAAACAGTATCCGTATTTTTTTGGAACAAGATGAAAGGAATAAATACATCTATACAGTAAATACGTCTAAATACACTTTTTCAACCAATCCATTGTGTAGCATAGCCCCAAACCATTTTGTAAGAAAACTAGTTTCAAACCCTCAGCCAAACATGAGCATGCACGCGCCTCAATTTTTTTCCAATTCAACAAAAAACATAGTTCCTGGTCACCTGGTCATTTTCGAGATTTCAATACCATCCTTTACACTGCCTGAAACGAGCCCCAAACAGTGTTATGAAATGACTGGCCCCGACGTCGTTTTAACATTTGGGCCAAATTTGGCTCTTACAAAATGCTTCGCCCAACCAAAAATAGGCCTTTTACAAAATGGCATGATTCACTGGGCACAAGTCGTTGCAAAATGGTTCCTTTCTTTATAGGAATTGCCTCTGAAATATGTGGAATTGCACCAGTTGGCCCTCAGCGACTTGGCACACGGTGACCCGCCAGCGAGGGCGCGCGGCCTATGAATCGCGGGCCCTGGCATTTCCAGTATACACACGTACACACACACACACGTATATATGGGTATGGGTCAATACCTACAGATACATTTTTAGGGGAATGAACATCCATTTACCAGCTATTTTGATGTTCACCAGGGGTACAAGGTTTTGACCCATCCCCATATATATATAATCACACAATTCTGTGCTGATGATAATGTAATATGAATATATTGAAATATATTGAAATGATATGACATGATAACATGTATGCAACTGTAGATGTACAAGTGTACGCAAGTGTATCGAACGGAATTGGTTCTGCATGGTTCAACTGTGTTGCAAAGGCCCCATTAACAAAGCAACCGTTCACGGTTCGAATTTCGAGAAGACGCACGACCATGACAACCCATGCATTGGCACCCGGCCACGGGTTCGACATGGTTCGATTACTCACTGGTCTTGGGTTTTGGCAGGATTTCTTTCAACTCACCATCTTTGTGCATCTGCATCACCTAAGTCCCAACAGCTTCAACTGCAACCACTCAAAAAACCCAAGGATCAGTTGAGGATCGAGGCCCAGGCGATGTCACAACCACCCACGAACTCTGCTTTCCTGGGCGTTTTGTGCGATAGTTGAGGTGGAACCGACGGACAAAATGCCAGGAAAACCATGGAAAACCCAGGCTGGAAGCCTTGAGCTATTGTTCTTGTGGCTTGACTACTCCCTTCAACATCCTTCAACCAATTTCCATGAGCTGAAGATAGCCGAGGTGAGAATATAGCAAACGCAGCTCAAGGTTGGATCTTCCACTCCAATTTGACAGGGAGTGCAAGGGCAAAGCACAGGCATCCTGTGCACAGTTCCCAGTGGCTCATGGCCAAGTCTTTTTAAGCATTTATATACTTCACTTGACATAAACAAAGCTCCAACATCATCACAAATCATGATGCATCAATGTCTGGGGGGAGGACACGTACAATTGAGGAATCGTTGGCCAATCAGAGAATTTCTTCACACCTTCACGCACTTCAGGATATTTCAGCCTCACTGGCGCGGTCCCGTGATATTCAAGCTTCGATTAAAATGTTGTGTTCCAACATCACTTGGGAATGGAAACTTCCTATTTTCCCTGTTCTGCCAAAAAAAGGAAAAACATGAAAACAGGATGTAATGAAAACTGTCATAAGTTATCAAATGGAAGTCAACACAGTCTTCTATGGGTGGACATTTCAGATTGAGGACTGACTGTCATCCTGGGTGTGCCACAAAGTTGACCAACAAAGAGATCATCCGCAGCATAAGGTCCCAACACATTTACGTAGGCATAGTCAGAGAAACCCACCTCTTCCAGGGCCTTGCGATTGCTGCACTCCTTCATCCTCAAGGTCCCTGAAACCCTCCTTGATCCATGGCAATATGGAGTGCACCGTGGTAAGAAAACAGGTCAACAACCAATACAATACAAACTACATCAAACTACAATTACCCCATGTACTCAACATTTGGGTGTAGAAAAAACAGAGCGTGCCAACATGTGCCAACACTTTACCACAGTATCTTTCTGAAACATCATTCAATATCATTCGATATTCCACCTATGCCTGTCGAAAATTTCCTGGAAATTACCCGAGTAAGGCAGTAAGGCAAGCACTGATACATCACTGATATGTTCATAATAGAAAGTAAATGGTTCCATCCTTGAAACATCGGACACGGTGCCTGGGCAACAGCCCTGGAAAAGCCGCACTGTGGCATATCTGGATTGCCCTTCATGAAGAGAACCACCTGGCATGGATTTTGGAACATTTGTGCCACATATTTGAATGCCTATCATGGCTCCAAGTCAGGTGCCACTTAATCCCTTGAAACTTACACTGCAAGAAAACTCAGAAGCATGTGCCTCCGAGATAAATGATCTGTCATGAGCTGTCAATCCCTCCGTGATGATCAACGGCATTTCGAGTTTTCCCTACGCCTCGTTCTCTGTGACCAGCTGCTTCAGCATGTCATGAACCTGATGCCAAGTCGCATCTCAAGCATTCAAAAGAACATGATGAATGAACAACGGGAACTGCCTGAAATGGAAACGGCGCAATTATACCCTTCTAGGATTCTAGGAGTTTGTGCCTTAACAACTTAACAACTCTTTTCTTTGAGACTGAATCCCCCGTCTTGTCTTCAATGTTGAGCATTGACAGTTTGGAGACCCCGTCCCGATCTCTGCGATATGTCTGGGGTTCGTTTGCGGCAATGCCTTGTTGTCGTCTGCCCCGGAGACGTTGCTCTGTGGCTCAAAATCCTGAGAAACTACCACATCACATCAAATGTAGACAATGTAGACATGTGTGCAGGAAGGAACCGGCGTGTCAAAAAAAAAAATATCCCGGCAAGAGACCCCAAACAGCGTTGCAAAGAACATGAGGAAGAGATACCAAGTTAGATTTTGCGAGTGCCCTTACCCTTTGCGAAGATCTCTGTAGAAGATCGTGTGCAAGATCTCCTTGACAGGTTAGAAACTGCTGTGCAAGATCCCTTTGTAAGGCTATTTGTACAAGGTGCTTATAAGAAATTTCCACGCAAGAGCTTTGTAACGTAAAAGATCCCAGAATAAGATCCTCTTGGCAAAATGTCTGTACAAGATCTCTATAATTCTCTTGGCAAGATCTCTTGATGAGATCTCTGTACAAGCTCTCTAAAAGAGCTCCCTTGGCAAGATCTCTGCAACAGTTCTCTATGCAAGGTCCCTGTGCAAGATATCTTTACACAACAGGTTTCCTAGCAAGATCTCTGTACAAGATCTTTACAAGAGGTCTCTTGGCAAGATCTCTTTATGATATCTCGGTAAAAGCTCTCTAAAAGAGCTCCCTTGGCAAGATCCCTGCAACAGATCCCTAAGAGGTCTCTGTACCAGATCTCTATAAAATAGGTCTCCCGGGCAAGCTCTCTGCACAAGCTCTCTATAAGAGCTCTCTTGGCAAGATCTCTGCAAGAGACCTCTTGGCAAGACCTCTGTACAAGCTCCTTGAAAGAGGTCGATTCTGTTTAGGAGATCTCCGCACAAGCTCTCTATAAGAGCTCTCTTGGCAAGATCTCTGTAACAGACCTCTTGGCAAGATGCTTGCAAAACTTTGCGTAAGATCTCCTTGATCATCAGAATGGGCACCGCGCGCGAGCGATCTAACACGCCCAAAGTGCGGAGACAGGGTGCACGAGCGATCTCAAAATTTGCACCGCGCCACAGCGAGAGCGATGCGACAGGCCCAAAGTGACGAGAGGGTTGCGCCAGAGGTCTCTGGGCAACCGTTTCGTGCGAGACTTCCTTCGAAAACGGAAACCGAAGGAGCTTTTGTGCTGTAAGGGTCATCAAAAACGATGCACGTGTATGAGACCACCACAAATTATGACGCCAACGGGAACAGAGAAAGTTGATTTTAGCATCAAAAAAACAAAACAAACTGACGGGAAAAATCACCAGAAAAAGGAAAAAACAAGAACAGTTTTTGTTTCTGGTTTGTTTTTTTCTGTTTGCTCGGGTTATGTTTTTGCTTTGCTCTTTATTTTTTCATGTAAAACCCTACATTCTCTGCGTTGTTGGACTCATAAACCTCGAATAAACACCAGGCCTTAACCCTTACCGTAAGAACCCCAAGTGTGGCCACACTGTTTGGCGAACAAAAAACTATGATCGAGGGCAACCAGTGGGAACTGTTTTGATTTTAATTGCAGATAATTCGAGCTTGAACTTCAGCTGCAACCATTGAGACCTACGGAAGCTATGACATGCCCGTGTGGAACCAACACCAAAAGAGCGTGGAGTTGAGACCCGCAGACATTCGCTAGGAATAGAATAGCTCTGATTCTATTTTTTGACAGTGAGATGGCTTCCCAAATTTCTATCAATGAGTAATTCTGATTTTCCAGCTAAAAGAAAAGATTATTACTCAATGCTTAAGCAATCTTACTGGTGACCCATCTCTGGGCACCAACTGCTGGACCTCGCAATTGTCTCATCTTTTGCGAAGCGTCGGGATGTCCGGAGAAGTTTCGTCTTGCTGCGGCAAAGGCCTCATTGTGCGGGCTGGAATGCCGAACTATATAGTCATAAGCGTGTAAATTCATGCAACATAGCAAATACACACACATATATATAATTTACCTCGTGATATTTATATTTTTATATATGTATATGTATACATTATTATCATTATTATCATTATCATTATTATTATCATTATTAAATTATTATTTATTATATAGTATAATATTAAAGAATATATTATGAAATATAAATACACACACTGTATAGCCTATGTAGCCCGCATACCATGACTTCGTTTTCTGCGAATTGACGGGTTGTGATGATGACGAGTTTTGGAATTGGATAAGACAGGACCAAAAGGCAGGATGCACACGGCAAGTGCATCAAATTCCGAATCACATTTCAACAGCTTCCTCCTTCAAAATAGCACTGGTTGAGGACAAGTTCGAGATTTCATACGACTTCTATATATATATATATTATATATATATATTACATACATACCCAAAAGATTCAGCAGTAGCCAACAATGATTTCTTGGGGCCGCGCAATGCGGAACGAAAACAAAAAATCCCGTGGCACCCGGCAGGGGCAGGACGCAGGAGGCCACCAACGGCACGGAGAGCATAGCTGCCTTGGAGAATCTCCGACTCAAAATGGACGGGGGAAGTTACCAACAACTCATGGGTTCCTTAATGTTTTGAACTGCTGGACTAGGTGTTTGTGGTATGTTGTTAAAAATGTCATTGAAGCACCGCCCTCTGAGAAGAGGGGCCAGTTTAACCAATCTTCTGCTGGTTTGTAGGCCCTGGACTTCTTTCAATCGATAGTTGATCTTCAACTTGCTGCTGCTCAATGTATCATCCCCATAAGAACAAACCGTTCGTACCTGACTTTGCCATATATGGTCTACTCTTCATTGGTCTTCCATTTATACACCCGCATAGAATATCATAGAATAATATATATATAATTATATAAAATGTGTCCCATGGGCGTGTGGAGACTGAAGATATTTGCAGCCACCAAGGGCTCCTTCACAAGGCTACATCCCCGCATCGTCAAGAGTCGATGAGAAGTCAAGAGGACCTGTCAATCCAACTGAGGGTCCCAAACTCGTTCCAAGCCGCACTGAACGGCACAACAGCCGCCTTGCCTCGGGTTGGGAGTTGGTGACCCTGGGGCAAAAGACAAAGTGCATCAAGCAACTAAAATCTTGAAATAACATGAAGTATACATGAAGTCAATGCCTATATGTTGCCAAAGGTCTTGCTCCCTGTCTCCCGAACTTTCTCCGTGCACTCTCCATGTTCACCAGCTTTACCCTGGGTTTCTGACTGTTGTGGCAGCCATGCCGCCTGCGGAAATTCTGTGGTGGACAATAGCTCTGTAGAGGTGGTTCTCCTGTCATCTCTACTCCACTCTGAGATCAAGATCTGACACCTTCAACATCTACCAGCCTTCATTGACTCCCTGTTCGAACCATTTTGAACCCACATAACCCAAAATGTTTGGTTGATGCTGAATATGGACATATATGGACCAAATAACAAATATCACAACATCACCCAGATATCTCAAATTCCGTTCTGCGACACTTCTCGTGATGGCCCAGTCCCCTTTTGGGTGCAGCTGGTGAAAAAACAGCCGCACATCTATGTCAGGATGCATGCCAAAGCCCAAGACGCGTTGATAACCAAACTTTATCTTGCATGTCAGGACTCTATAGGAAATCATCCCACTTAGAAAGTGGTTGACACCCATGGTTATAAAATGGCAAGGCATTGGCAAGGCCAAGGTGAAAAAACATGCCCAGCTGATGGTCCTGCACCCCGTGCGAGGAAGGCTCAGTCAATAGGCGAAGCAAAAAAGGCCAGGCCAAAGCAAAACCAAACGAAATGCACAAAGAAGATAGTTGGAACACATAAGGATGGTCCAATCCCTTATGTTGGCCGAATGCATGTACGAGATATACACCCCCAGTTTTCACCATGGCACATGAAATTAAACCTCGACAGCTCCACGCGGTGCCTGCCGATTGGCCTATGGTGAGCTCTGCAGGGCTTCAAATGGCTGCAGAAAACTAGAGCTGAATCATGTTGAATCATGTTGAATCATTGAACAGCTGCTCCAGCAATCTGATGTGCCTACTGAGGGTCAAATCATCTCATGTCAAATGATTCAGTGATTCAGATCATGGAGTTCAGATGCAACTTTTGTGCATCATTTTGTGCATCTTTTGATCATCTTTTGCAATGGTTAAATTGGGGATCCCAAATTCCCGACTTTCAACACACATCCGCACATTGGCGATCATGCCACGCTGTCCTCAGTTCCAGACGCACCCGGTCCCCCATGACAGTGTCCACCTGGGAGACTGTTGGTCCCAAGGGAACAAAATCTGGGCACACCGGCACACCAGAAAAGGCAGGAAACACTAAGAAACTTAATTCCTGAACCACATAGCCTTATGTGTGAGTCTTCAAGTGTACATACCGCCTATAGCTCCAGTTCCTGTTGCTCGCATCACAACTCTTGCCAGTGACGTGGAGTCCTTTTTTGGATTCTCCTTATTTTTCCACTCTCCTTGGTGCCACCTACTGCTTTTATGTTGGGGACATTCCCGCCAGAAACTGTTTGAAGCAGCTAGCAGCTGCAAAAATCGGCAAAACTGAGAACCTCCTTCTGAAGCCTTCCCATCAGCTCCGGATTCTGAGCCTTGGCCAGCAAATCGGGTCCGTTCAAGTGATGTGCGTGACCATCAGGCACAAGATGAACCCCCAAAATTTCAGTTTCACTTGTTCCATCTTCAGGTGTGGAGGCATTGATTGGGTGCATCTGAAGGTATCACAAGCAGCTACGCATTTCTTATTGGCTTCGAGGTCACAGCATCTCCCCAGTGCCGTGGGGATCCGTGGGGCTATGGCCAGTTCAAACAGTGACCATGTCAAAGCACTGGCGGTCGTCTCGTGCCCAGCCTAGATGGACACCGTCGAAGGGATGTCTGAGATGATCTTTTCATATCTGAAATTGGCTGGTCTCGCTTCGGGCCCCAACAATCAAGAAGGTGATCATATCCTTAGGAAGCAAAAGCTGGCAGGGCAACCATTCCAACTTTCAAGAAAACCTCCAACCGGGAATAATTAATCAATTAATGAATCTATATATATATACACAGTTAAAGGACGAAAAATGATGAAACATGACTCACCCAGGTGATGTTGCCAAAATGGTTACACGATTCATGTTTTGGACGCCAGGTCTCGTCCCTCAGTTGTTTTCCGGAAGTGGCTTCTCCTCTCATGTCCACCTGCGGCTGAAGGATTCTGAATGGATTCTGAAGGAGTGGCGGAAGCATGGATGCAATCTTCAGAAATTTAGGGTGGAACATGTTGGAACCCATCTGCATCCAGCCGTACCCAACAGAAGATTCCAGAAGGGTTTCGACAGAGCATGAATGGCATTATATTACAAAGACAGCCACGACACCCTTCCGATCTTTCCCTTGCTCGGATTTCGCACCAGAAAGCGCAGCAGAGACGGGTTGTCCATCCTGGCGACATCTAGAGAAGAGGTTCTAGTACGTGTTACCATGGATCCATTGCAACAATAGTCAACTTTGAGTTTGTCCCTCCCACCACCAGTTGCATGCACATGCATGCACATGCATGCAAATGCATGCAAATGCATGCAAATGCATGCAAATGCAGCTTTTTTCAAGAAGTGAACAGCTTTGCGATTCTCGAGTCAGCATGGGACTTGCTGGATCTGGTGGGATCAAGGGCCAAGCTCAGCTTGAGGCTGAAGATGACTAAAGAAGCTCATAATCTCATATCATCTCATATATGTAATTGAATTTGCCACTGACTGTGGTGACAGTTCTGGGAGGAATTTCTGCCTTCGGCATCACGATTGCAAGGAAAGGAACCTCTTCCTGTCTGCCAGATCATTTTCTTTTAATTGTTGGAACATGTTGGAACCTAAGGGCAATTGACGGCAACTGGTCACAAATTCGAGGCATCCAGATCCAGCATCCCAACTTCAAGCAAAAAATGGAGTACCAAAAGCACTTCAACATACTTCAACGGCTCACATCCGACGCAAACAGCTTGTCTGCTTTGTGTGTCGAGTGGCATCCACCAGGCTGCCCATGAGGCGTTGGGCCTTTACGAACTAGCTAGGACACGGAAACACAGCCGGTTCCCTGTTGAGTCCTCCCTGGCAAATGTGGAATCGCCCAGCAGCAAAGATCTTGAGGAAGCATATGGAAGCATGTAGTTACTACAAGTTGTACCATGGTGTGAACATATTAGAGACTTTAACTAACATACTGAAGAACGCATAAGGCCCTGAAAATCTGAAAGAGCACTACCAGTTGTTGTTCTGTGGGCATGTTGAAATTGGAACTATTTGACATCATTCGCTTCAAGAAAGCCATCTACTATAAGAATCTTCTCAGATCTTCTCAGAACTGGGGTCCGTGCAAGGAATCTCCTCCAATGGCCGAATTTGGCCACTTCAGGTAATGACACATGGGGCCTCGCGGTTCACGCAGCACTTGTTTCGCCCTGGCGCCTGGGTGGTGGCAGATTTACAGAAAGGCGATCTTGCCCTGTGCCACTGTCAAAAAATGACACCAAGCAAATGCATGCAAATCCTCGGAATGGTCAGGTACCCTTCATCTGAAATCCCAAAGTACGAGTAGTCCAAGTATTTTGTACAGCAAATGTTTGCCCCTTGTTGTGGCTGCGAGCTTCCCAAGAAAAACCTTTGGAAGTACTCCCAGGGTCTTGACACACATGGCCAGCTACCCCTGCTGCACCTCGCTGTGAGCTGACATGAAGGTGCTGGCGCTTCGGGACTCAGTGGCAGGATGCGCTTGGTTGGGCTGCAAGGCTGAAATTCCAGAAATTCCATACCACTCGCAAAAAAAAAAAACATGATTGTTTTCCCCCCAAGGAAAACAATTCGAGCCATGAACGTGCACTAATCCCACACTAATGATTTTGGGGTCTCAAAATTTGGGACCGCGGCCTGAAAGTATCAACCATCTGGCTGGGCAATGCTGACACATGTGCAGTCGGAAAGGCAACCTTTTGACGCAAAATGCGGCAACTTATTTCACTGGGATTATTGGAACTCTTCACATCTTTGTTGCATTTTGTTGCTATGTATTCGTGGCTAATGCTCCAATGCCAATAATCCCTCAAACTTCGGCCTCGAGACATCCATTCGGATGCTCTGGACCTAATTGCAGGGCCGCAGGGCACAATGTTCGAAGTTTGTTGCAGCAATTTTCTGGAACATCAGCTAATGAAGCTAATGAAGCTAATGATCAGCTAATGTTAGCTACCTAGCCCAAATGCATAGCAAATCTCGCCCGTTAAGCTGGTGGGTTGCAACATGTTGCCCCCATTGAGCGACGTTGGTTTTCCCACTGGTTATATAGAGGTTTGTGATACCAAACATTACCAAACAACCTGAAAACAGTGCATTGTTTAATAGTTTAATAGTGTTCAATCATTCTCACTCGGTCTCACTCGGAACTAATCAACCATATCATGATTTATCATGCATATGTAATCTTTTAAAATCTTTTACAGGGCGACAAGTTGGCCATCCTGTTGGTGTTCCTACCCGCATGGGATCAGCTTCTCCAATCGCCATGCCTTTGGCTCACAGGACAGCTTGCTTCCAGCCTTCACGGCATCCTTGGCGATGGACAAACGCGATGCGGTGCAAAGCTTGATGGACAAAGCAACTCTTCGTTTCATGATTCTGATTATCCCTTTAGTAAAACGAGCAGAAGTTTAACCCTCCCATAGCACCTTTGAGGAAGTTTCGGCAAGATATGTTGGAGGCTCTTTCACCGAGGCTCTCTCACATCCATTGGCACACTGCAGCAAAGGATGGCCAAAATATCTGAGACGCTCACGGCCCTCCACAAGCCATCAGCTCACTTGCCACACATCGTGATATCTCCTTGGCGAATGGGCAAGCGGCAATGCAAAGCAACATCTTTGAGAGAGGAGTCCAGAAATATCCCGAAGCATAATTGCAAAAATAATCCGATATAGTCCAACTATCTCCCGTAGAACTTTGACTCCATAACCTTGATGAACATCTTGAAGAGTGCAAACCATTACACTGAGAACCACAGAGCACGTGGAAACCCGCATAAATTGTGCACGCCCTTCATAAAATCTATGTGCACGTTCGTTCGTCCATTCTTACCATTCATTCCATTTCATTTCACTTACTGTAACTTCACTTGATTTCAGTTCATTTCATTTCATTTCATTCATTTCATCCATTGCTTCCACTCCTTCCATTCCTTCCATTCCTTCCATTCCTTCCCTCCCTCCCTCCCTCCTTCCCTCCTTCCCTCCCTTCTTCCATCCTTTCTTCCTTAAGTTCAGTGCAGTTAGTCATTCATTCATTGCTTCATTCATGCCTACAGACTTGCATCTTCATGTTGAACGACTGGTGACTGTTGTACTGACCTAGATGACCCAGCAGTTCTGCCTTTCATCCAGGTGTGTGCCGCTGCCAATATTCGCATGGAATGGCATGTTCAAATGGAAAGCTTGCTGGGTCAAAGTCTCTGATAGGCTTTGGCAGCCAATTCATTGCGTCTTGGATCGCCTTGCTTCCTCGAACCTCGCGGTTGCTGCAATGCGGGCAGGATCAAAATTCCAGATCTCTTGGGTCATCCCACCCTGACTTCATGTTCACTGACCGTCACTGACCCTACATGTGATGAGGCAATCACACTTCATTCCTCAAGTTATTGCCTACATAAAATTACTAAGTTATTGCCTATGGGAGGTTCTTGTACACAATAAATCATTGAATCATATCTTAAGGACCTGAAACATCAAACCTCTGGCCCTTCGTATCGGAGATACACTAAGTGTATTCAAACGCAACGCGTCCTCAAACTTAACAATCAAAACTCACCGTTAAAAGAAAAACGCAACACCAATCTCCCGTATCGGCTCCGGATCTGATTGTCACCAAAATGACCTAAAATGACCTCATGAAACTCTATCACATTGTGGGTACAAGTCGCACTTCAGAACATCTCAGATTCGGATCCGGCGGCGAAATGCCCCACTGAAATCATCACCGCTGCTATTTCCACCTTTCTTTTCAGGCTTGTTTTGAACTGCCAACTATCATGGACACTTTTTTTGCCAGGGCTTATCATGGACACTTGCCATGTAAATTTCTCATCTTAGTTACATGTTAGATAGATGTCAACCATCTATCTAAACACTTCTCAATTGCCATCCACATGTTTTTCCGCTGATTCATTCTCTTCATTTTCCAAACACCTCCAACTTCGACTATCTTCGCCTCCGGCCCCAAGGCCAAGGCCCAAGGCCAAGGCCCAAGGCCAAGGCGCGGGAGGTCGGAGTCCCTTCCTGTCGTTTCTGCATCGCTTCGCGCGCCCGGGCGGCGATCTCCGCGCGTGGCGTCTCCGACAATGCGGACGGCGAGGCTGCGGCCGCCTGGCAAACTTGGACAATCAAACGATGACTTTAAAAGGCAAAGGGGATAATATGAATATAATTATATGAATATAATATGTACTCTATATATAATATGAACATAATATGTACTATAGTAATATGTATATGATTATGATCGATTATGATTGATTATGCATGATTATGCATGATTGATTATGATTGATCATGCATGTAAAACTATGAAATGTAGTTACTAGTGTGCATAAATTTATTGCATTGCATAATTATGCATACCTACAAAGATTATCCCATATATTACATGACATTACAGCATTATATCACACATGCACAAAATTACCTCATACATCCTCATACTGCACAGAGCGCACTACAATTCATGCCGTTTCATTCCATTACATGTCATTACTCTACCTACTTCTACGATCTTTTACGTACATTGCGTTGCATTTTCATGTGCGCTAGATTTGCATGATTTTACAATATGTTTAATTTACATTGGTTGTACCTTACATCACACTGTACATTCCACGCCCCCACATCCGAGCGGGTTAAGGACACCTTCCCTTGCAAGTCGGCCGCATACCCGGCATCTGATGATGACGCGCGAGTGGAAGGAGACACTTCTACCTGTGATGGTTATGGTCCAAAAGGGTGGGCCCCAAACATATAGACCCACCACCAAACACCAATAAAATAGGTGGCCAAATCTGGTCTTGATCATTCGTACCCAACCTTGAACATGTTGGGTGAGGATCCCCCTGGAATTGGACTAATTGGATCAAGGTGCCAAGGCCAAGCAAGATATGGAAAGAAAGCAGGACATGACTGGAAATTACATGAAATTAGATGGATAGCATTCAGACCAAAAAATGAGGTAGACAAAAGCAACACCCATCTTGGATGAATGTGCCCGATGTCCGAACTACAAGAAAATGGCACTTAAGACATGTGAAGAATGGGATCATGACACCTAGTAATGGCTAAAACTTCAAAGCGCTTTCCGGAGGAAACGGCTGGAAATGCATGTCGTACTGTGAACTTCTTACAATGCTAACAATGCGAAGTGCTGCTGAGCAATGCCAACTGCTACACAATGATAAGTAATTGATTAAGGCTAGATGGTTTGGCGGTGCTAGGTGATACAAACTGATGCAAAACATGCAAAGACAAAGGCTCGGGCGAGTCAACTGAAGGGCCTGAAGGGCAAATGATGGTTGATTATGCTAAATGAAATGCTTTCCAGGTACACATCGATCTGCCTTGCGGACTGCTGTCTCTGGCAGGCGCACTTGGCCATCAGTTCCACTTGCGGCACTTGCGGCACTTGCAGCACTTGCAGCACTTGCAGAGGCTGTGGCACTTGTGGTGCTGTCAATAGCTTCAGCAACGGCACCTCTCGGCACTTCCTCTTGAGGTATCTGGCGGAGTGCCATCAACACACACGCGTAAACTTACACACACACAGGTTCTGAACGATAGAATGCAATAGGATGTCACAGGGACGCGTATTTTGCCACAACTTCATCAGCAGCTGCCATGCATTTTTGATTCAACGTCATCTGCAGCTGCCAAGAATATGCGCCACAGCGGCCGAAGATTTGGTTTGGGAATTGGGCAGGTTAGGATTCAATATGGCTCTCTCATTTGCGCCTCATTTGACATCGCCACACATGGCGCCGCAGATGGCGCTGCTTCCACTGCAATATCGCTGCAGCCTCGGCTCAAGCCCTGATGGCTGCTGGGCCAAGGGTCATCCCATTGAAAGATGTGAAAGTGAAAGCCATAAGAAATTACATTATAAATGACTACATGTACCCATATATCTATATATCGAAAATAATATATATATATATACAGAATTGCTTCAGCAATCATACCACAACAAAGTCATCCATTTTTTAATATTCATCAAATGGGCAAATACATGCAAATATGAATTAAACCATAATAAAATATAATAAAACCAATCAACATGGAATCAGATGATGAATCATGGTGCCAAGATGTGCCAAGTCACCTCCAAATCCTGCAACTTCTGGTCCTTTCACCGCATCCCTCCAACTGAAGTCGATGCGTTGGGGCGTCAGTTGCTGGAAGCGCTCCGACAGATTCCGGTCTTCCGGGAGACGGGAGGCTTCCTGGTGGAGCTGGATCTATCTATTTGATGGCTCGTGATTAGTGACAGGCCATTGCTGGATTTTATTCCCAGATCATTCTCTCCGCCTACTAATCCTACTATTGTTGTGGTGGCACTACTGGAAAGTATTTTCTCAGGGCTGATAGTGCCGGGATGGAAGAAATCAGCTCTAGACCCTTTCCAGTTCCAGTCCCTCCAACCCCAAGAAAACCCTATCCAGAACATACTTTGCCGAAGAAACGACGCCCAATTTTTCCCGAGAGCGTTTGAGCGCAGCGTTCTTCTAATAGCGGGGGTCTGTGAAACATTTTCTCATCTTCACATCTTCTCATCTTCACATGTTTTCCCATCTTCTCATCTTCACATCCTCACATTTTCACATCTGTGCATCTTCACATCTTCTCATCTTCACGTTCTCTCTTGCTCTCTTGCCCTCTTGCTCCATCATTCTTTTCTATTTCTCTTTTGAGGGCGCGGGGCAGTGCCAACGAGACGCCACGAAATGCAACCCTTTCGCACGAAATGAGGTTCGATCGCCAAAAACTGAAGTAAAATTGCAATTTCCGGGTTCCCGTCGCTACCCTTTCGCACGATATGAAGTTCGATCGCCAAAAACTGAAGTAAAATTGCGATTTGTAAGTGTCCGGCGCAACCGTTTCGCACGAAATGAGGTTCGATCGCCAAAAACTGAAGTAAAATTGCGATTTGCAAAGTGTCCGGCGAACCCTTTCGCACGAAATGAGGTTCGATCGCCAAAAACTGAAGTAAAATTGCGATTTGTAAGTGTCCAATCGCAACCGTTTCGCACGAAATGAGGTTCGATCGCCAAAAACTGAAGTAAAATTGCGATTTGCAAAGTGTCCGGCGAACCCTTTCGTACGAAATGAGGTTCGATCGCCAAAAAATGAAGTAAAATCGCGATTTCTCGTGTCCGGGCGCAACCCTTTCGCGCGAAATGAGGCTCGATCGCCGAAAATTGAGATAAAATTGCGATGTCATGGGTTCGGTCTCTGTGTGTGAAAGTGTTTGTGTGTAAAAGCTTCTGTGTGCGAAAGTTTCTGTCTGTAAAAGCTTCTGTGTGTGAAAGCTTCTGTGTGTAAAAGCCTCTGTGTGTCAAAGTGTGTGTGTGTGTAAAAGCGTCCGTGTGTAAAAGCCCCTGTGTGTAAAAGTGTCTGTGTGTAAAAGCTTCTGTGTACAAAAGCTTCTGTGTAAAAGCGTCTGTGTGTAAAAGCCTCTGTGTGTGAAAGTGTGTGTGTGTGTAAAAGCATCTGTGCGCAAAAGATTTGCAAAAGCGTCTGTGTGTAACAGTCTCTGTGTGTAAAAGTCTCTGTGTGTGAAAGTGTTTGTGTGTAAACGTCTCTGTTTGTAAAAGCGTCTGTGTGTAAAAGCGTCTGTGTGTAAAAGCGCCTGTGTGTAAAAGCGCCTGTGTGTAAAAGCGTCTGTGTGTAAAAGCTTTTGTGTGCAAAAGCGTCTGTTTGTCAAAAGTTCTGTGTGTGAAAACCTATACGAAATTTACGATGCAAACTATGGTCTTGTGTTTGTGATATATTGTCTTGATACTATTCTTCTCGTCTGCCTATAAATATATTGTCTTGTAATATAGTGTCTCCATACTAACAACAGAAGACTCTGCTCCTCTACGCTCTCGGGCCATCCGTCGTCTAGTTTTCAATAGGGTAGCGTATGAACGACCCGTCCCCGAGTTTTTTTAGCAGTCCGATTGCCAAGCCATGCCAAGCCAGAAAGGCAAAAAAGAGGAAGGAAAGCAAGAAAGAAGGGAAGGAAGAGAAGGGAAGAAAAACAGAAATATAATATCAATAAATATCATATAAAATCATAAGGGAAAGAAGGCAGGAGGGGATAATGGAAAACAAGGGCATTGATTACACATCGATCCTAACCGATTCCTTTTCCCTGGCAACGGTTTTGTTGGGATCACTAATCAGTTGCCACCATTGTCCAGCAGCCATCAGTTGGAGTTGCCTCAGCCTGCGTCTTCAGCAGCTTCTGAAAATACTTGATCTTCTCCTTGCAATGTAAAAGTGGGTCAGAAGACATTGCATCACCGCAAATCATCGTCCGGGAACTGTTCGCGATCCTATGTTCGGGCACTATGTGACTAACTTCAAAGTTTAAGTTATATAACTCAAAAATGCAAGCAATAACGCAATAATGCAAACAATCTGATACAGTATCATATTATTTTTGATGTGTGTATGATATGCATATTTATCTATATGCATATATAGTATTATATAGTCACACACACATATATATATAACATTATATAACATGTTATAGAAATTCTATCTGGCGGGTCGATGGTGTTGTGACGGAAATGGAGGCAGAACTCAACAAATGATACACTGTCGAGGCACTAGCCAATGGTTCCTTTGCAAAGTTTTAAAGGAGCCCCTCATGAGTGGCTGTGGCAAACCACTGCAAGGAAGTTGATGTTGGGCCATATTTGTGTGATCGAATGCTCGACGGAGTTTCAAAGCCAACGCGCTTGTATCTTGTATCATCATGTTTCCCTCGATGAAGAGCAGCTAGACAGCTTGAAGCACCCCAAAGACTTTCCAAAACATACAGCTGGTCCATCAAGATGATGTGGGCCCTTCCCATACAAACAATCACTTCAAATGAAGTTGGTTGCGAACGAGTAAGCCCAGGCAAGTGATTTGTTGGGGATTGGGGTCCCACAAGAGGTGCGACAAGCTTCTGATGTGCTCAAATATTCCTGTCCTTCCTCACTCTCCTTAGGCCAAAGTGCCGTGTGAAGACTTGAGGTGATGTTACAATCTAGTTTGTCAAATTGGGTAGTTGGGTGACTCCAACCCACAAGAGAAAAAATTGAGCCACTTCACACTTCATTTTCCAGGTCACAAGAAAGGTTGAAACCACCAGGTAGCTCACTCTGGACTTTTTGACTAAGCCTCAGACGAATGATGCCATGCCCCACCGCGATGCCCCCACGGCACCCAAAGACTTGAGCTGGGTCAGCTGCGAGTGGGCCGTATTTATTTTGTTTGAATGCGCAAGGAATTGGGAATGTATAGGTAAGCTCCAATAGTTCAACTGCAGCAAAATGAACCTCGATGAACCGTGTCCTGAAATGGGCAGCTCTATTTGGGCAGCTTGGGTGACATCACCCCAATGCCAATTTCCAACAAGAAATTGCCAGGACTATCAGTGACTATCATAAGTCACCGCAGTTTCTGTGCAGTCTTGGGCGCCTGACCTCTCCATATGCACCTCAGTGCCCCACTGTGCTACCAACCAGCTAACTACCAAAGTCTAGGTCGGATTTTGGCGGCAAACAAGTTCCGCCAAATGATGCTTCGCCAGGATCGAACATCATTGACATTCAATCAACCACTATCAACCACTAGTTTGTAGCTTAGTGTAGCTTTATGATATTTTGTGATCCTTTCTCACCTGGTTTCTCTGCCGAAAACCCGTCCCGCCAGGGCACTGGAAGGGTTGCGGAAACGAGCGGCCACCTCGGAGGCCTCCGTGGTCGAAAATCCCCACTGGTCGTGGGATTAATCAATTTATGTGACATTAATGTTGGGATTGTATACTCTAAAAAATGTGGTTATAATGGGATATTAATTTATGGGACGTTAATTTATGTGGTTATCAATCAATTTATGTTGCATACCCCCCCCCCCCAAAAAAAAACGACATTATACTACTCTAAACTTGGGGTTGGGGTCGGGGATAAGTTTGAAACACATCAAAGCGGTGCACGACGAAAAGCTGGAAATTAGAACAGGGCCTGGAACGATCTACAGAAAGTGTTTGGCGCTACAAAATGGCAAGGCCTTCGCCAGAAACAATAAACAACATCTATACATATTGCATCATATTGCCCATAAGAAAATAAAAATTAGCAGTAACATACAGCAACATTGCAAACTTGCAAAGCCATTTTGTAGGCAGGCTTTTAGCTATTGGGAATTATTGACCTCTGGGTTTTTGTGCCACTTTACACTGGAGTCGACCTCACCCATTCTATAGCGGAAATTTAAAGGGGGGTTCTATGTTGTAAGTATTAATTTATCATTATTGTTGTCGTTATTACTATTATTAATGTTACAGTTGTGAGATTTTGTGAGTCTATGTATGCTTTCGCATGTTCTGTGTGTCCGACGGATTCAATTAGTCAATTAGCTGGGTGCTGCAGGGCAACCACCGGGTGGAACATGCGTCAAGCCGGTGGTGCTGCGTCCAAGCTCTGTTTCATAAGCTTGAACCTGGCATTTGGATTTCTCATTCGCTTAGAATATTTACAATGGGTGAACATCTACACATTTACTGTTTCTACCTGTTTCTACTCTCTAGAGGACACAAGAACAGAACAGTCGACAACCTGAACTATCTGCAATATTTCGCAACTTGGACACTAATCTCTTTCCGGCGGTATCCTTTGATACCTGTCCGAACGCGGTCCAAGGAGTCCAATCTGCCGAGAGTGCCATTTGAAGCCGGCCCAAATGCACAAACCAATCATGGCTATGCCCAAATAGATCTGAAGAACCAGGATAAAGACGCGCAAGACGCGGGCCCCAAAGGATGGTTGGTTAAAGCCCAATGGCACCGCATGCTCTGCACCATGTGGAACATGAGAGAGTTGGACAGAAACCGGATCCTTGGTCGCTCAAAAGCCAGTGCGAAAATGTCCCAACTTTGGAGTCTCTATGAGAATTGTCAGGTAGCCGCTGGCACAACTTGTGGTTCTTGTTACACTTCTCGATTTGTGCAGCGCCCAGCAACAGTTTTCCGCTCTCTATGGCTCGATGCGTTGTCACGCACCTAAAGAGCTGTATCAGCTGACAAAAGGTCAAGTGCCAGCTATGGCCGAAGGGATCCCTAAGCCGACAAGTTGTCAGGCATGAAACAAGGTTTGACATGCTGAGGTGAACTTGAAATACCAAAAGCTGAACTTCTCACATGCCCCGAAGTTCGACTCAGCACATCAAGCCAACTGGGATCCGCATTTGTGGTGAAATCTACTGCAGCAACCGACTTTGCAGCCCTAAGTCGTTTTGCTGCTGTGAATTTCTCATCGAAAACTAAGTTCCATCTCTGGCCATTGTTCAAAAACTTGGCTACTTTGTCTTGGGCTCCCGTTTTGGTGAGTCCATCACTCAACTGCTGATCACTGTTGCACCAGCGAAGGATCGTCTTCTGCTCCATCAGGTGTTGAGCCAATCCCAGCATCTCCAAAGCTGTGTGCTTTTCCTTGGCATTCATCTGGGGTAGGTCCTTCTGCTGCAACATGTCGTAGAGCGCCTTGGCGTCCGTGACCAGAGCTGCTGTGGTGAAAGCTGCTGTAGTCGCTGGGTTGGAAAGATCCACGTTCTTTCCAAGAAGTTCCTGCCACAAAATGCGATTGATGAAGAGCTCCGCCTCGCATTCAGACATCGCCTGGGCTTCCGCTGCCAACGAAGATCGGCACACTCTTCGCAATTTGTGGGTTGACCAGCTTGCCAAACTCACTGGTCCAGCGACTCCGCGTTCCAGCATGTCGCGGTGCACGTAGCCAATGATGTAGCCACCAGTGGACGTTAAATCCACACGATTCGCCAGTGCTGCGTCTGTCCAACCAACCAGGACGATGTCCTCGTCGGAGTCAGCCTGGAGGTCAAACACAGTAACTCCCTCATTCTTTTGGTGATAGAGCTCGCGGACGAATTTGTTGATGTCCTTGAGTGTCTGTCGATCACCTCTTGGAAGTAGGCTTTGTAAATGGCTAAGCTTGGCTGAATGCTGAGGACCTGTTTGGTAGCACCTCCATTGAGCTGCGCCTAACACTGCTCTGCATTGATGTCGTTCATTCGTGGTAAGCTCCTTGGTGGTGCCATCCTCCTCGATCTGGTTGATGCCCTGACAAAACTCCTCTTGGCTCAAATGCCAATTTCCATGTAGATCTTGTTCAAGATGAACTCCACAATGCATCATTGGACTGCGCTCCCATGGGCTCCATCTCAAAGCTTTGCGAAAGGATTCCAGAAAAGAATTCCAAACTGGATTCTCTTCGCTGCCGATGAGCAAGAAGTCGTCCACATGGCTGCCAACAGCGCCATGAACCTGAATCTTGCCATGCTCGTCCTCCGTCTTGAGAACCCAGATGCTGGGATCTGTTTTGAGGCGTTGAAGGTGTAGCCCTTGGAGGATCTCATCCACAAGGAGGTAGAACTCGCGTGGTGCCACTGTAAGTCCATAAGCAGCCTTAAGGAACTGGATTGCCTGACCTCTTGGTAGGCCCATTGCCTCTTGAAGTTCTGAGACAGGCATTCCAAAGATCTGTCTCCTCAATTGGCTAGACCTTCCTTGCAAGAACGCCGCTTTGGCGTCGGCTTTCCACGTCTGCCACTTTCGATGGCTGGAAAGCTGCAGTAGGGCTTGTCTGCCCCGTCGGCTCAGCGTCGGTGACCTGACATCTTCAGCGCCGAGATCTGGGTCCGTAAATCCAAGAACCACCAACCTCGCTTTGGCCTTGACGGTCTTCGGGTCATCCGTGGCTTTGAAGGTGAGCACCCAACGCATCTTCATCAAGCGTGATGCGGGAACAGGGCCAAGAGCAGCCTTGCAGACTTGTGATTTCAACCACTCATCAATCTCAATCTGCTTGGCTTCCTTCATTGCTGTTCTCTGCTCCTCGTTCAACTTTTGCCAAGAGACTTCAACTCCCTTAGCCATCTTCTTTGCAGTGAACTTGGCGGGGTCGCGCACGATAGCACGCCAATCAGCCTCACTGGCTGGAGTTGGCAAGGTGACTGCGAAGGCATAGTCATTAAAGTTGATCTCCTCAAGGAAGTTGATGGCTGTGGCCTCAAACTCAGCAGAGTCTTCAAAGTCCACGAAGTTGTTGTCACCGGTGCCTTGAAGAAAATCTTGGCGTTGTACATGAAATGGTCTCTCCAGCCTCTCATGTCGTCGTCGAGCTTCCAAGAACTGTGGATGTTGAAACAAAGGTCCTGATGCAGTCGCTCCAAAAGGTTGATGTGCTGGATCATCCATCACACGTTCTGCATCCCACTCTTGTGGAACTTGGTGTCGAGAATCCAAGTCCTCTGCCGCAACATCCTCATCAGAGTCCAAGATGGCTTCTTCTTCACGAACTGGAGACATAGTTCTCACCCGGGTAGCATCTCCTGCAGGTGCAGCAGATGATGTCGCATGCCCCGTTGATGAAGCATCAGGAAGCTCTTCCGGAAGTTGACGCTTCTGGCCCGGTCGGGCCTCTGAATCTTCTTCCCATCGTCGTCGAACTTGTTGAGCTTCTTTTCGAAACTGCTTCTCCGTGAGGATCTCGTCATCATACTCGCCCTTGGAAATCAAGCCTGAAAGATCTTGAAAAGTCCATGGTGTGGTGACCTGTGTGGTTCCTTCAGCCACCAATCGTTCTCTTTCACTGGCATGCCGAAGTTGGTTGCATGCCACTTTCTTCAGTCTGCCAGATGCAATGATCCATGCGATTCCACTTGGCTGTCGAACATGTCCTTGGTAGGTCATCTTGGTCTCCAAGGCGAGGACTCGTGCTGGTCCATACCATCTTGCCACCTTTCTCCTCGGAACGTCCAGTAGTTGATGTGAACGTTCAGCTCGATCTCCAGGAGGTTGAAATCGCTTGTAGAAGATGACATCGCCCGGCTCATACCGTACAGGTCTGGCCATTTGTGTGTTCAAAGCTGCGTTCATCTTCTCCCGGACTTCGATCTCCCGGTGGTTGCGCTCGGCCTCAAGCTTGCAAAGGAGCTTGTGCTGCATGCGAGCATTGCTTGCCATACCTGACCAGTATGGAAGGTCTGGAGAATCATGAAGACGTTCCGCATCATTGAAGTTGCGACCGAACACCCATTGTGCAGGACTGTATCCAGCAACGTTGGTCATGTGGTTGTGGGCCCCAATCATGGACCAAACTGCCACCTCAGGTGTTGCATCTGAAGATCTCAAATGAGATAGCAGCTTCTTCTTGAGGGTGCCGATCAAGCGCTCCACTCGGCCGATCTGGCCGTGACTTTCAGCTGGAATGGCAATGACCTCAAGTCCATGGCCTTCTGCCCATTCCTCTAGCTCTCTGCCTCTGTGAGCGCCCTCTTTGTCCAACTTCAAGATGCGTGGATACCCGAAAAACTGTATCCAACCCTTGTAAAAGGCCTCCACGGACTCCATCGTAGTTGCATTGCGGCTTTGAGAAACGGGATGTTTGAAAAGAAACGTAGCTGCCCCGTACCCAGAAGCTTCGTCGATGCAGACCTGAAAGTGAAAGGTCTCATTGCCCACTGTGAACTCCATGTTGTCAAGCTGAACCACCTCCCAAAGTTCTGTGGCTGTTTCAATCGTCACTGCACGTCGTGACGGTGGGATGGCAGCTTCTTGACAATCTTGGCAATGAACAATCGAAGCCAGGGTACGGACCAACAAGCTTGCTCCTCGGTCTCGAAGCATCTTGACAAAAGCTTGCCTGCTGGGGTGTCCAAGTTTGCGATGCAGTTTCAAGACTTCCGTCGCTGTCTTCTGCACCTCTTGATCTGTAAACTGCTTCAAAACATCCACGTCGCAGTCGGGCTGAATGTCCAAGGCGTAGACCTTGTTCATGAGATCGACGTGAACTTCTTGTAGCATCCGAGCAACTTGAAGACACATCTTCCGAGGATAAAAGGCAGTGTGCCGAGTGAGATTTCCTCCTTCACAGGGCACATGTGGTTGAGAGCAGTTGCAAAGCTTCTGCATCTGCCAAATCCTCTTTGTAGAACTCCGCAGCTTCCATGGTTTCTTGATTGGGCCATCACCGGCGGGTGCACAAAGTCCATAGGCACAGCCGTCGATGTAAGCCTCATAGTATTCCAGTCTTCTCCAGAAGTTCACAATGCTCTTGAACTTCCATCCGCCATTGTAGCGTGGCCATTCTTGTACCACTTCACCACCCAGTTGCAGTTGATGCTCCATGAGAGACAAAGCTCGGGCTGCCAGCTTCTTTGACTTGGCCACTTTCTTCTGCACAGCCTCGTACCCTTCGGGTGTGAGCATGTTGAGGTTCTGGATGGGTGAAGAGGGTCCACATGGTAGAGCAACCCAGAGAACATCGGGTCGTTCTTGAGAGATGAGGTTATAGGCCTTGGTGAAGCCGCTCTTCTTGTTCAAGTCGCACCCATTGAAGAGTCCACATCTAATGCCACGACCGCCACGGCTCTCCACAGCCGATGTGATGCCGCTGTTCTCCTCGCAACATAGCTCCAAAATGGTCGGCACCTTATAGTTTGGGTCGTTGACATTCAGTGTGACAAAGAGCTCCTCAATGGCGTCCTGGTACTTCTCCACTTCTTCCACCAGGAAAGCAGTCTCCTCAGGCTTCAACCGGTCGGTCACAGCTGCATCCTCATCCTCAGGTTGTTTGCGCTTCTTCCGAAGCGGTGATCCAGATGGCAAAATGCCCCCTGGTGTGAAACTTGCCTGCTTTCTCAGCTCTTTGGAAACCAATCCTTTCTCATCCTCATCAGTTGCGGACTCGTAGTGCTGGAAGTCCACATAGGTTCCAAAGGCTGAGGCACTTGATGCAAAACTGGCCATAGATCTCTTGCATGCTGAAGTCGAATTCGGGCTCCGTGAAACTCCGGCCTCTTGGCTCTCCGGCTTGATCTCATCCATCACCATCACTTGTGATCCGGAGGGCTCGACACTGTGCTCCATCCGTCCTCCTCCTGATGCCTCTCGGCGTACTCCTTCTCCTCGGCTGTCTCTGTTGCCTTCCTCGTCTTGCGCCCTGGTGTCTGGTACATCTCCTCGTTGATCTCCGGTGCATACCCTTGTGTGCAAAGGGCGGCGGACTTCTGGGAAGGCACTGAACCTTCTGACTGGCGGCCAGGGACGGTGTTCTTTGGCTCGATCTGGGAAGTCATCCTCGGGGGAGTCGCAGGCCTCATACTCTTCAAAGTGGATGCCGCCACTGTCTCCTTCTTCTGGGGCGTCTTAGCCTCCTTCTTGCGCTGCGCCTCCTCCCACTGAGCTTTCTCCTGGTGAACTTGCTTCAGCTTGTTCTGCAACGAACGCTCCTGAGCGTCCAGAGCCACCTTCTTGTTGTTCAGGTCGGGAGAGCCCTTTGGAGGTTGTTTCTCCTGTACTTGAGCTTGAACGTCTGCTGGTAGGGGACCTGCTTGGCGATAAGTGCCGTGACTCCCCCACGTTGGCGTGTAGGAAAGGCGAAGCCCACACTCCTCGCACCCCTTCCAGGTCCCCCATTTGTTGGCTCCACTCTTGCTGCCTCGTCCTGGAGGCTGGGGTCTGTGTTCCCCATAACACGGGGGGCCTGTCGTGCGGGGATCGTCTGCTCGTGGCCCCTCTGTCCTGCTCCAGTCGTACTTCTCTGTCACTGGTGCTGGCTCTTTCACCTTCTTGGGGGCCATGGCGAAGAGGTGAACGTTCACGTGCACAGTCAACGTGGGCAGTCACCAAAGATCTCAAGATCTGGTCTCGCATAGTTTGATCCACTTGGTGAAGCGGTCGGTGAGAATGATCATCGTTCATGAGGAAACACCTTCATGCACTTCATGGTTGTCATCTCCATGGTGTACATCCTCATCTTCATCTTGCATCATCCATATAGTTTCATCATCATTCTCACACTGATCAACGACGGCTTCAGCTGCACATGAAGACTGTGATGGCAAAGGTTTTGGGGTAGTATTTCTGGGATTTGAAACTTTGAAATTCCGTGATGTCTTTGACATGGCTGAATCTACACTCCCATTACCACCCAGCACCATGTATGCCGCAGAAGACTTCATGTCGTCCTGCAAAGGCTGGCTTTGAGTCAACCAGTCCTCAGTCAAATTGACCAAAAGGTGGCCTGCTCGACTTTTGGCGAGTGGGATCTTCACCTCCGGTGAGACACTTGCTAGAACCATCCAACGTCCGCTAACGTCGATCACCGCCCCCAACTTCACAAGCGTCTTCATCCCCAGCAAGATGGGCACCTGCTCGGCGTCGATCGTGTAGAGTCCAAGAAGTACTGTTTGGTCGCCCAGCTTCTGAGGGATCAGCACATAGCTGCTTGAAAGTTGCACTCCACCATTCCCAAAGCGAAACGGCTTTTGAGAAGATGGGCCATAGAAGACCTCCACTTGTTCAGCTTGTCCAGCAGCTTGAGAGCGCAATGCCATCAAGGTTTCCAACGCTTCCAAGCTCCCAACTGTCTCTGTGGCGCCTAAGTCCAATACGCCAAATCCAGCAGTGTTGGTGATGGTCTCCTCCACGTGGAAGATCATGCCAACGAAGGACAGTGAAGACGAAGTCAAAGCCTCCACCCAAAACGTGCCCTTCTTCGATCCTTTGCCACCACCAGCTGAATGTTGTCCACGTCTTGGACAATTTCTGAATCCATGTCCATGTTCTCCACAGATGAAACAGCCGGTGCCACTTGTAGTAGAGCTCCAGTCCATACCTTGAGCTGCAAACAATGGCTTTGAGCTGGTAGTCGTCGATGAAGACGAAGTAGAAGCTTGGTGGTAGGGTCCTCTGCCCTTCTTCCCCTTGCCTTTTCCTTTTCCTTTCTTTCCTTTAAGCATGGGAAGGGGATAGAAGCCTCGACTGGCTCCCTTTGCTCTTTGAAGTTGGCGGCTCTGTTGGAAGGTCCGCACTTTGTTCTCGTAGGCCATGTATGCCTCATCAAGTTCTTTCTGCTTCTCCGGGGTGTAGTCCACGTAGGCCTCATCCGCAGACCAGTAAACTCCTTGTCCATCAGTCTCCATCCAGCAGCCGTAGTTGTCCTGAAGGTAACCATGCCATCCATCAGATTCCCAGGTCCAGTAGATCTCATCGTCTTCGTAGGGCTCCTCAAGGTTGTTGCCATGGTCGTACACCTCGTCCGGCAGCTTGTTGCCAACCCAATGGATCTCCGCAATCTCGTCAGCCACGTCCTCGGAGTTCATGGTGAGGAGACCCCAATTGCCCTGCTCTTCAACCCAGTAGGTTCGTCGTTTCTGGTGTCCTGCAGACCTACCCTGGTCGGCCTGCAACAACTCTTCTTCTTGATCACGTAGAGATCTCCAAGTCCTGGAACTTGAGAGAGTTGTTCACCGAAGATTGCACAGCCAACCTGCTTGAGGAACTCAAGTTGGCTCTTCTCAGCAACAACCACCCAAGTACTTCATCAGGTAGTACCTGGATGTCTTCCACCTCCAACTCGTCCCATGGATGATCCTCTCCAGAGCTGGAGTCGTCTCCATACCATTCTTTCTGTTGCTGCTTCTTCCATTGTCGCCATTCCTCATCAGTCCATTCTCTCGCTGGTTCTTCATCTGCAGGTTCATCACCAGGAACGGGTTGATAGAGTCCACGATCATCATCAGCTTCTTGAACAGGAGGAAGTCCACCTTCAGCAGCCGTAGATCGTGTAGGGCTTGTCGGTGAAGTAGGTCTCGACAAGGACGTAGGTCTCAACGGTGACATAGCTCTGCTTGGAGGTTCACCTTGTGGTTCAGAGACAGTCTTCACTGTCTTGACGTCCATCTCCTTGGGCTTTTGTTGCTGTCGGGCTCGAATCAAAGCTCGTTGAACTCGTCGGTAAGCCTCCATGACCTCGTTGGACCACTGTGACATCGCCATTCCAAGAGGTCGCTTGAGGCGGATCAAAAGATCCTCAAGTCGAGCCCCAGCATCCGGCACTGCCGTACGGCAAAGCCTCTGCTGAAGAAACTTCAGCAAATACTTTGTCCCATTCTTCTTCGCCAGCTTCTCATGGTCGAGCGCTGGAATGATCGACCAGGCTCTTCCAGTCAGACGGCTGGCTAAGTCAGGGCCCAACCTCTTTCGTTTGTGAGGTGGAGTCATTTCCCATTGCAATCTCACTTTCCTTGCATAGTCTCCCCACGTAGAGGGTTCTCCATCCCAAGAAGCTAGCTCTTTGCTGCTCTTTGCCGTTGTCATTCTTTCGAATGTCGTTGGACACAAGAACGTCCAAGGAGATAATGGCAAAGTCCGGAAAGGCCAAGGTGATGTTGTCAAAGTCCCGCAACCCCAAGGTGAAGCTGACAAAGGCCAGAACGTCCAAGGTGAGGTTGTCAATGTCCGGAAGGTCCAAGGTGAACAGCAGCTCCAAGGAGGAGTCGGTTCGAGGAAGGTCTCGGCAGAAACCGGGCCAAAGGCCGTACCGCCACGGAAAGACCTCCTCAGGCAAGTAGGGCTAGCGTAGTTCACCAGGTGAGGGTGCCCAGGAAGAAGTAGAAGGCCTCGAAGGAGTCCAGGATGTAGAGCCCAGGCCAGCAAGCCAAGGGCAGCCAGGAACGTCCTGGCTCCGCTACCAATGTCAGGTAGCCGCTGGCACAACTTGTGGTTCTTGTTACACTTCTCGATTTGTGCAGCGCCCAGCAACAGTTTTCCGCTCTCTATGGCTCGATGCGTTGTCACGCACCTAAAGAGCTGTATCAGCTCACAAAAGGTCAAGTGCCAGCTATGGCCGAAGGGATCCCTAAGCCGACAAGTTGTCAGGCATGAAACAAGGTTTGACATGCTGAGGTGAACTTGAAATACCAAAAGCTGAACTTCTCACAGAATGTGAATGTAGAATGTGAATGATGTAGAATGTGAATGAATGCGGGTGAATGCAGGACAATGTGAATAATAATATAAGTTTATAGTAACTAGTAAAAATAATAACAATAATTAATAATAAAGATATATAAAGATAATATGGGGGACTTCATGGACTTCCTGGAATTCTTGTGGTGGACACTGCTTCCATCAATTCCTAGACAGAAATCTCATGAAATCTCATTCACGTGTCCTCTGAAGCAAATGGCCTATGGATGCATATGGGTATTCACGAAGCTCCTTGAAATGTCTCGAAACTATGACAATGACCATACAATGACCAATGGAATCTTGCCGCTTGTGGAATCTTAATGGGTCTTGCCACTTGACTGCCGGGCAACCGCAAGTTGAGGTGCTCCCCACAGGCTGTAGTAGCTCTGCCCAGGAAGCAGAAGCACAAAGAAAACGACTTCCAGTGACACTATAACCAACATCGCTGCTATGATCACATACGCAAACCTTGCGTTCCGACCACAAAACAAAGTGAGGAGACTGAATTGTTGAAAGAAGTCAGACATTGAGTCGAAGTTTCGATAAAATGAGCCCGTCGCAAAGTAAACCAAGAAGCAGCTGCAAGCTGATGTTAGGAGGCCCAGAAAAACGCAAACCAGGCCGGCAAGGATGGAGTATGTGAATCTTTCATCTTTGATGCCCACTTCAGCATTGTCAGGATCAAAAAAACAAGGGTAGGCTGCACGATCCAGCCTTGCTGCACATAAGCGCTCACTTTTTTGGTATCCATTGCAAAGGCCATCTGTGGTGCAGTTCCATATCTGATCTTCACATGGATGCGAGCCCCACATATAGAATCCCAGCACTCCCCAACAGAAGACTCCAGTCCCTTCCGTCCGAGCACGTTGAAACATGGGCAGCTCTGCCGGATCCTGGTTACATTCTTTAAACGATGCCCATGATGGGCAAAGGTACACGGTCACGGGAAAGTTACACAAAAGCTCAGGAGTCACTGTCTGAGGCTCCACTCTCTGCTTGAAGACAGGCTGCTCAGACATCACTTGGAAATGGGCGACATTGAGGGGCTGATCTGCGTGACGGCCATCATAACACTTGCCCTGAGCCTGGCTGGCAACCACCTGCAGGGAAACGAGGAAGGTGTGAGATACATAGACTGTCAAACCAAGAAGTAGTGGAGTCCAAAGTGACAGGGCCACCAGCAAACCGGTTAATCCATCAGCCGAGGCCAACCGAGGCATTCACGTGGGCATAAAGTTAGGCTGTTGCTTGGCCCTTCACTTGATCCTTAACATGGTCAAGGGGCATCAAAGGCACCTAACCAACGAAGAATCCTGGAGGTTTTGGCAGGGGAAAGGAAAACCTTTCATGAAGCGAAGCGTGCCCATGTTCGCATAATTTCGCATATAACTACCCAACATTACCCAATTACTTCCCATGCGGAAAGGAGAAGAAAACAGGATCAGAACGGATCATCTCGTTGCATCGTCATGGAAAATCAAATCTACAGTACTTCATCAAATGCCTTAGTCTGGGCGTGGTTTTGCCTAGCAGCAACGTGCCATGGTCTGATGTTCATAGATGCTGTGCTTCTCCTAGCGGCTAGTGGTATCCTTGACTCATTCCAGCTCACCACGAGTGTTATGGTAGCAAGTCCATAAGTTCGGGCAGCTCTGATAGGTGCAGCAATCAAAATATGACAGTGTACGTGGGAATTGCCGTTACAAGTATCTGTCCCATCAAATGTTTGCGACAAAATCCATCGGCCTTTGCGCTAGTTGGGCCCTTTGGATACAATTGGTTCAACGAGAAACAGATACAAAACATGAGCCCCAGAGTTGGGGCACATGTGTCCTCAATCCAAATCAATCAATCACTTCCCCAGAACACATCCATCATATTCCATCCTATATCATCATATTAATATGGACTAATCACATCAATGTTCCATCCACCAAGCCATCCACAGCATCGTCCCAAGCCTCCTCCACCTTTGACAACAAGCGCATGCGCTCCTCCGCCAACATCGACTCTAGCGACTCGCACCTCCGTAGCGCATCCTGAGGAGTGACAAACAAGTGACATCCGTAGTGGTGCTTGATGGTGGTTGGCTATGGTTGCCGGATACATCATCACATCATATACCTGGATCTTCCATATGGTGCTTATTTCTGCCGTTGCTCAAAAACAGTAGAATTGTCGCCGTTCTTGCGGAAAAACGCCTTTCCTGAAAATAAATGCCGTTGTGAGAAATTGTCAGCCCACGTGGTCGGGTATTTTCGCCGTTTGGTCGGGTATTTTCGCCGTTTGGTCGGGCATTTTCGCCGCTGAAAAACGGGCTTGGCAGCAATATATCAGAAGAAACTCTGGTTTGCCCAAAAAGGTCGTTCTTGTGAAAAACCTATTTATTGGGCAAAAGGCAGAAATTAAGCCCACTTTGGAAGAGGCAGGTATGTTACCCTCTGGTAAACGTTTACATAACTATGGAACATCACCATTGTTCATAGGTAGATCCACTATTTCTATGGGCCATTTTCAATAGTTATGTTAGCTTACCAGAGGGTTTCTATGGTGGTTTAATGGGATTTACCTAGTAACAATGGTGGATTTACCAGAGGGTATCCAAGTATCTCCATGTGATGCTACGATCTCGTTGGGCCCCCGCCTCTACGTTGCTGGACGACTCCAATGGATCCGCCTCCTCATGTCCTTCGGCCAAAGATACCGTGCGACCAATCATTTTCCAACGTCTCATCTAAAATGCCTGGATATTTCTGGATATTTCTGGAAATTTCTGGGTATTTCTGGCACCAAATTTTGCTGTGTCTTATTTCCATTTGACGAAGACCATGGACCCAACCTTACCACAATCCGACCTGCTTGCAATCGCAAGTGTCGTGCAAGTCGATCGAGCCTTTGCCTCGTTGTAGCCCACTGCGCTAGGCGGACCCCACAGGGCAGAGGGAAAATCCGGCAACAACGATTGACACTATTGGAGTACTGAGCTCTCACAGCTACGAGATGTGTGTACACATCAAACATGCATATCAATACTAATCAACCAATACTTTATATCTCTATCCATCTATCATCATCTGTCTATCTATTTACAGTATCACTATTTATGTGTATGTGCTGGTGTGTTTATATGTGAAATGTTTCTCCCAGTATTCAATTCCAGCGTTTGTAGTTGCATAATGTGTGTTCCCTCTACCAGTGCAAGCAACCTGCCGCCACTTCAAGGCCCAAACGCGAGATCAGATTGCTGTGGAAGAATGGCTACACCTTGGAACTTAAGGATGCTCGACCACTGGTTGCTGCAAGTGGCTATAGTGGTTGTGGTTGGAATTGCAGGTCCCCGTGACTCTGGGAAGGATCGGGAACAATCTCAGCTCCGCACAAGAATTGCAAACACGTTGAGGAGATGCACCTGGATCCAGCTGCACCATATTTGGTGAACAGGAGCCACAAACCAAGGCATTGCACAGGCGACCTTGGAATGGAAATGCGGGGGATCTGCCAGAACTCCCAAAGGGGGAAGCTGAGATTCAGATAGCGTGCAAGGGTAACACTAGAAGGAAGCAATTGTCCCCGGAAAAATGGAGAAGAGGCCCAAACACTGGGTTCTCCGATCTCCATCTAACCCGATATTTTTTGAGATATATTTTGATGGATTAGTGGGAGGTCCAAATTTCGGAGACACTTAGATGAGGTTTTGCAAATCTATCTATCTATCTATCTGTCTGTCTGTCTAATCTAATCTAAACTAAACTATATAATCTAATCTAATCTTATCTTATCTATCTATCTGTGTGTGTGCAACACTGGTTCTTTGAGGCGCGCACACTGGTGACGTGGATTCAAATGCCTGTCAGGATGGAGAGCGCACAAACTTGACAGGAATGAGGGTTCCATCTTGTCAAAAAACATCCCTGAATAGAAACATGAAGAATGCGCGGAAGCAGTGGCTCATGAATCGCATTCCACTGTGGATGAGAAAAAGGCTCTATTGTTATGTCCATCAGGACAACCGGGCACAAATGTACACAAATGTTGCATACATCCACCATGACTCTGAAGCCAGTTGACATTTCACATCTTCTCAGACCACCATGAGCGCCATGATACGAAAGAAAACCCAACTTCTATACCCTTCAGTATGCAGAGTGCCGAATCCTTCTCGGTCAATCATGATCATGTGCAATCCAACCGGCATATATATATATATATATACACCATCTGGTTATTTAACATAGCCATGGAAAATCACCATGCTTAATAGGTAAACCATCTAATTATAAATGGGCCAGTTAAATAACCGGAGGGTAATGTGTGTGTGTGTTAAAATCCAGGTAGGTGGACAGTATCCACTCGACCCTAAGGCTGGCACCATACGGATTAACCACCCAATTCTACACCGTTGGTCATTCCGATCATATGGATGAAGGATGGTACTGGAAAAATGCGCAGGTTCCCTATCCTCTTGCAGCTTGCCCCATTGGTAAACGTTTACATAACTATATGGAAAATCACCATTTCTAATGGGCAAATAAATGGCACTCTTCAACAGCAATGTTAGAAGACCAGAGGGTATACTGCACAACTGGAGTCTCGGGCTACCAACCTCTTGCCAAGAACTGCTTCGCAGTAGCGGCACAAATCCTTGCTGGACTCTCCCTAGGGCGCGATGTTGGCAGTCACGAGTATGGCTTGATGACGGCAACCAACACTCCCACCAACATATACCAACATCCTCCTCCTAACCAATCAATAAATAAATCAATCAAATCCTCACCCAATCAAAACACAATCAAAATCACAATCAAGCTAACATCAAAACACAAAAACAAATGGAATCGACCGAACCAATCAATAAAATCAGTAAATCAATACATCAATAAATCAGTACATCCAAAAAAAAACAAATCAATCAATTATATAATGTTCATCATCATCTTCATCGTCGTCATCCTCATTGCAATCCTCATCCTCCTTATCATCATCGTCCTCCTCATAGTCGTCGTCTTCATCATCATCATCATCATCATCATCATCGACATTGACAGAGTCATTGCACTGTCATGGTGGTCGTCGCCATCATCTTCATCGTCATCATCGTCGTCAGCCCAGGCCAAAAAAACGCAACAACACAATGCATTCGAATCAGCTTTCCTGTTGACTGGGCCGCCCACTTTGCTGCCAAGGGAGGCCCTGTACTGGGCCAGTACTGGGCTAATTAAATAAATTGGAAGGGAAAGATGTCAGGGAAGCAAGATTCAAGAAAAGGCGATCTGGAAACCAGATTTTCATCTTGGACACAGTAAAGGCATTTTGTATCATTTTGTGTCTCTATAGGCTCATTTAGGCTCTACGCTTTGTCCTTAAAGCCTTAAGGTTTCTGTAGACTCTGCCAGTGACATACCCAAAGGTGTATCTAGCAAGGTTCCCCATGTCTCAACCAAACATGCATCAAAGTGTTGCAACCCAGCGGCTAGAAACAATCAAAGATAATCTCGTATGGTCAAATTTGATAGTGCAATCGATGTAAGTAGATCATTTGTTTTGGGGCAACCCAGGGGTATGACAAATACCCAGCCAATCATGCCGGCCAAACGAGCTGTTTCTGCGCTGATCCTGGGATTGGGCGGCAGGTAATGGAAAAGTCAGAGTTTCAGGCTACCACTCAACATTGCAAAATGGTGAAATGAACTATTATGTGGGAGATTTCTGTAAAGCCCACCTGTGCCATGGGCAGGTTCTTGACCTAAAGCCTTCATGAAGCCAAACAGAGCACAGCTCCGAGAGAATGATGAAATAATATGACGAATATGATGAATTCCTTTGAATACCCTAAGTGATCTATGGATATCTATGGAATCTAAATGACAGAAACATCCTAAGCCAGTGATGAACTGACTGAGTGGTGGCAATGTGTGGCAATCCCCACATCCTTCTGCCTCTATTGAATCCAAGCCACTAGGGAAATGCCGGTCTCCTTTGGTGTCTCCTTTTGATTCGCCATGGCCCCCACGTCTCAGGAAGGACTTGCTTACCTAGAGATATTTAAGGCAATTCTATCTCATATTGCAGACATATGTATATGTAGCCTAGCCTTCCTGTGCCCGACTGCCTGCCGAGAAAGCAGCTGCTTGCTGAAAAGATAGAGATAGAGTGAATTGCGTGTGAATTGCTGTCACGAGCCTTACAAACACAAGTTGCACCAGCCGGTTTCTTGCAGCGGCGTCCATTTTCCACAATATATTGCTTCTTGGCAGGTGAGCTTCCGCGCAAGTGGCCATTCATCTGCCATGACACTCTAACACAAACACTGACATTGAGCACTGGAGCCACAAACAACGGCAAATGTGCCACGGTTCACACTAGCTCGCATGATCCATACTCAATGGCAATTCAATGATCATGATTTGGGTGATGTCACTCTAGTTACCCCGACAAATGATGGAAACACACCATGCCATGTAGACACTGTTCCCTCAACAGACTGTCCACATGGGAAAATTGCTACCTACCATGTCTGGTCCTTCCAAAAAATGCTATGTAGCGGCAGGTCCCACTTAAATTAGCTACAGTATACGCCGCCATCCGCAACTGTGCCAGGAGCCACTTCTCGTAATCTCGATTCTCCAACTCTTCCAAGTCTGCTTCCTTTCGATCAGCTAAAGCCTCCAGCGCGCAGCAATGCGCAGCACTATCCCCTTGGCCCCTTGGCTGGGCGCCCCAAGCAAAGGCAACCTCTGACCAATAGTTTACATGCGGAATAAAAGAGGAAGAACGAAACTGAACAAGGAATAAAAAGGATGAACAAGAAGGTTTCGAAACATCCCCATGATCTTTTGGCATCATCTATTCCATGCACCGGGACTCTCATGACTAGCTCCAGTTGAGACCCCTCCCTTCTGCCACTGCCGTGTCTGCCTGCTGGATGCACTTGTTTAGGGCGTCGTTCAACAGATTCATGTTCCTGATATAACAAGTTGGCTTATCCAAATTATTCCAGATTCAGGAACTTTGAATGGGGGATGCCTTAAGGGTATACCCCTGTCAACATACCTCAGAATAATAAAATATTATTCTGGCATACCTTGACTTCCACAAAAAAAATCCAAGAACTCAATGAGATATATTGGGAGTTTTTAACAATATCCGACAACATGATACCCCTATAGAAATTTTCTAGCGAAACGTAAGCAGCTGCGCGCAAACGGCCGAAAAAGGTGTCCCTCCTTGCAGAGCTGGGGTACAAATAACAAAAACATACAAACACCTAGTACTTGCCCTTTCCCACTCCTTCCCACCGGGGCCCGCAAGGGCTCTTTGGATGGAAATGAAGGGAATATGTAAGAAATAGGGGGAAGTATGAAAGGTTGGGAAAACCTCTAGGAGAGAGTCAGGTTGAGTGCCATTTTGTGGGCTTTCCCCACTAGGGGTATTGGAGATGCCTGGCACCCCTCAAAAACCAAAGTGGGCAGCTGCCACAATCACCAAACTAGCCCAGAAACTGGAAAAAATGTCAAAAATCAATGAAAACCAACCATTCGCACTCGGGCCATTGAGGTTCTTTGGAAGGAAATGAAGGGAATATGGAACACATAGGGGGAATATATGAAAAATTGGAAATATGTAGGAAAGAGACAGTGATGAACATGATGGTTGAATACCATGCTGCTGGTTTTCGCCAAGGGAGAAGTTGTTCTATATAGCTGTATTTTCGACCACTTGAAATATGATTTTCTGGAATTATTCCAAAACCTAATTAGTCCGGGGTATGTTGAGGGGATGGATCATGATTTTAAAACTCTAACATGCACAATCGTAGACCCCCTTAAGGAAATTATCCAAGGAAAATTATTCAAACAAAATTATTCCATAACCTAGTTGATACCCTGGAATAATTTGTTAGGGGATCCCGCATAACTTTGAGATGGACAACTTCGAATCCATCCAGCCAAACTTGAAATCAATTACAACCAGTTTCAGCCCCTTTCTGCCATTGAATCCTCAGCCATCATCACCCCTCGCTGCGTCCCAGGATCTGATTGAAGTCGCGCTGACGCTCGATCAGAAGATCCTGAGGTCAAGGTCGAGGTACAAAACCCCTGTAACTTGGACCAGTGATACCAAGTAACTTTCAAAATAAGCCAAGACAATGTTAGTCTATATCTATCTATCTATCTATCTATCTATCTATCTATCTAATCTATCTAATCTATCTAATCTATCTATCTATCTAATCTATCTATCTATCTAATCTATCTATCTATCTATCTAATCTATCTAATCTATCTAATCTATCTAATCTATCTAATCTATCTAATCTATCTAATCTATCTAATCTATCTAATCTATCTAATCTATGTATCTATCTATCTATCTATCTTATCTTATCTTATCTTATCTTATCTTATCTATCTATCTATCTATCTATCTATCATATCTATCATATCTATCATATCTATATAGCTATTGTATATACCTACAAAAAACTATAATATGTATTTATATATATACAATTATATATATATACAGTAAAAATATGGAACTCAATGTTGGTGTAGATTATTCTTGGTTCTATCACACTTCGCGGGTCTTAGGCTCTTGGATCTTTCTTGGGTTGCTCAAGTTTCCTGCCAAAGGTGGAAAGCAAGAAGCCGGGCCAGGACCAGCAAAAGTTTTCAGGGTCGAGTTTCACGAAACTTATCAATCTTATGAACACTCAAGAGGGGATGTGTGCACAAGGTTCAGACAGGAAAAAAACAGTTCTGTTGACATCCGTTGACTGCCTCTGGTTCTGTTTGGAGTGCACTGCATGACATTGCATGACAACACTGTCATCCGTCGACTCTGGGAAGTGACGGGTGCACATGTCAATAGGATCAACTCCAAAGAGCTACAGCGACGCATGACCGGACCCACTTGCAGGCACTTACAGCGTGCCGAGGTTGGAGGAGCAGAACGAAAACAACCGGACCCAAACCTATTGGGGATCCAGGATCCATCAGGATCCACACTGGTCATCGCGATCTGGCCCTCTTGCTATTCCACAACTTCAGCCCACTGTATCCCAAGCCCCTAGGCCATAGGCACGATGTCTAAGCACAAATAAGATGAATTGTAGATTGTAGATTCATTGTAGGTCAACGAAGCCGAGTTAAATCAAAGTCAATGAAATCAAATTCATGTGGATTCTGCTTTTTCACCTTCAACTTTAGAAATCTCAGCGCCATCTAGCTGAGTGCATCTTTGGCAGAAATGCCATCAGCGCTCATGTGACCAGTTAAAAGGGTTGTGGACTCCCGCAGTCTCAGTCAATCCGTGCGTGCATTCACACTGAAGTAGGGACAACCAGGCCAATTTTTTTCGATTCGCTGATTGATCAAAAGGGTCGTCAAAAATCGTCTAAGTGTGGAAACATCCACGCTCAATCTCATACCAATAGTTGACAATGTGGACAAATGACGGGCGGATCTTAATGTTCTATGCCGTCCTACTACGTTCTGCGCTTCAATGGATGATGTGGTGCTGGGATTGAACATGCTGGCTCTTGACTGCCGCTTGGGCAACAGGTGGTTTCAAAACCTCCACTCTAAATATACTCAATCAAGCATCCGTCAATGGGAGTTTCCAGTACTGGAAAGGCCTTGGCAACGAGGTTCCAGCAGAGTCACTGTGCAAACTGCCATGACTACCCAATTCCTATGACGCCTTGAACTCCTTTCACCCCGTGCTGAGCTTTGTGCGTTTGCGCCCGATGCTCCACCTCCCTCAAGGACCTCAGCGCCGGAGGCCTTGCCTGGTGACCCAACATCTTCCTGGGGCTGGGAACCGCCTGGCAATGGATGTGATGTGAGAAATTACCCCCCAAAAAAAAGACTTTAAACAACAACTATAACTATATATAAAGTGACATATTCACATGATGTGTCATCATGTGGCATGGACATTAAATGAATTGAATGTAAACGGGAAAGGAATGGAAAGGAACCACAGAATATGCCGTCTGATGCCTTTGGGTAAATCCGTTTCAACCTTGGTATGAAGTCGCAAACTTTTCTTGACATCATGTGGCCCACCCACATGGCATCCGCGCTGAATTGCCGCTTTCACGATGGGGCCTGAGCTACGAAATCTCACACAAAGAATCTGATCTTCACTAATTTTCTCTTCTTTCCTTTGAAGTGCCATATTGGCAGATACTCAGCAAAAATACGGGGAAAACGATCCTCACGAGAACATAGGAAAACAAATAGTTTTCATCCGTGCGGAGGCATGGTTCTGTGCGTCTCAAGAATCACTTTGGCCAGCTGGGCCCTTGCACTTTCACCTTCCACAGAGCCAAACTCGTAGTTGAAAACGGACCTTGGCGTGATGCTTCTCCTATCTGTTCATTGCTGTTTGGGGACCGGGAATTCAAAATCTTCAGTTGCTGTAAGAATGATGATGATGATGACGATGACGATGACGATGACGATGGTGATGGTGATGGTGATGGTGATGATGATGACGATGACGATGACGATGATGATGGTGATGGTGATGGTGATGGTGATGGTGATGGTGATGATAATGATGATGATGATGATGATGGTGGTGGTGGTGGTGATGGTGATGGTGATGGTGGTGATGGTGGTGGTGATGGTGATGATGATGATGATGATGGTGGTGGTGATGGTGATGGTGATGGTGATGATGACGGTGATGGTGATGGTGATGGTGATGGTGATGGTGATGATGATGATGATGATGGTGATGCTGATGCTGATGCTGATGCTGATGATGGTGGTGGTGGTGGTGATGGTGATGGTGATGGTGATGGTGATGATGATGATGATGATGATGATGGTGATGGTGATGGTGATGATGATGACGATGAAGATGATGATGGTGGTGATGGTGATGGTGATGGTGATGATGATGATGATGATGATGGTGGTGGTGGTGATGGTGATGGTGATGGCGATGATGATGGTGATGGTGATGGTGATGGTGGTGATGATGATGATGATGGTGATGATGGCGGTGATGGTGATGGTGATGGTGATGGTGATGGTGATGATGATGATGATGATGATGATGACGATGACGATGACGATGACGATGACGATGGTGATGGTGATGATGATGACGATGACGATGACGATGACGATGACGATGACGATGATGATGGTGATGGTGATGGTGATGATGATGATGATGATGATGGTGGTGGTGGTGGTGGTGGTGATGGTGATGGTGATGGTGATGGTGATGGTGATGATGATGATGATGATGGGGATGGGTGATGGTGATGGTGATGATGACGATGATGATGGTGGTGGTGGTGGTGATGGTGATGATGAATGATGATTGTGATATTTGTGATGGTTTGATTTTTATTTTATTGGTTGATGGTTATGGTTATTATGATGATTATGATGTGTTTGGTGTTAGTTTTTTTTTCTGGTTATTTCTATTATTACTTTTTACTTGTTTCATTTTTTCCTGTTTTTTTTTCTTATTATGGTGATTATTGCGGTGATGTTGATTATGTATGTTTTTGTTTGTTTGTTTTTATTTTTATTATTTTTTGTTTTTTTTTTATTCACTTGTTTTTTGTTATTTTTATTTTTTTTTCATGTTTATATTTGTTTTATTCTTCTTCATTCACTTCCCTTCTTCATTATTATTCATTCTTTTTCTTTTTCTGTTTCTTTTTATTTGTTTTTTATTTGTTTCTTTTTTTTTTCTTGTTCTTTTATGTCTTCTTTCTTCTTTTTTCCTTTTTCTTTCTTCTTTCTTATTTTTTTTTTTTTTTTTATGTGTTATTTTTATTTTATTTTGTACTTTTTTTTTGTTTTTTCTTTTTCTTTTTCTTTTTTTTTCTGTTTTTTTTTTTCTTTTTCTTCTTTTATTTTCTTTTTTTTCTATTTTGTTTTCTTTTTCTTTTTTTTTTTCTGTTTTCCCTTCTTTTTCGTTACTTCTTTCTTTTTCCTGTTGTTTTCTTCTTTCTTCTTTTTTTCATTATTTCTTTTTTTTTTTTTATTTTTCTTGTTTCTTTTTTCTTCTGAGTTCTATCTTTCCTTCTTCCTGTTTCTTTTTCTTCTTTTCTTCTTTTTCTTCCTTTTTCTTTCTTTATTTTTGTTCTTCTTTTGTGTTTGCTATTTTCTTTTGCTTCTTCTTCTTCTTCTGTCTTTTTTTCTTTTTTTTTTTTCTTTTCTTTTTTTTCTTTGTATTTTTTTCTTTTTCTTCTTCTTCTTCTTCCTTATTTATTTTTTTTTTCTTTTTCTTTTTCTGGTCTGCTGCCGGTGCCGGTTACGGTGTGGTGGTGCTGGTGCTTGTGCATGCTGGTGCTGCTGCTGCTCGCTGCTGATGGTCTGCTGCTGCCTTGGCTGGTGGTGGTGGTGGTTGTGCTGGTGCTGAGCGCTGGGTGGTGCTGCGTGGATCTGGTGCTGCTAGCTGCGCTGCTGGACTCAGCTGGTGCTTGCTGTGTGGTTTCTGTTGGCTGTTGTGTGGTGCTTGTGCATTGATTTCTTGCTTCTTCTTCTGTTAGCTTCATTCTGTTGTTGTGCTGCTGTATTCTGCTTTTTGCTTCTGGTGACTTCTGGTTGTGGTGGTGGTTGTTCTTCTTTTTTTCTTCTGTGCTGCCTGCTATTTGCTTCTGCTTGTTCTTTTTCTTCTTTTTCATTCTTTTCTCTGCTGTTTCTTCTTTGTTTCTTTTTCTTTTTCTTTTTTCTTTGTTTCTGTTTGCTTTCTGTCATGGTGTGATGATGATGATGGTGGTGGTGGGTGGTGTGATGGTGATGGTGGTGATGGTGATGGTGATGGTGTGATGATGATGATGGTGGTGGTGGTGGTGGTGGTGATGGTGATGGTGGTGATGGTGATGGTGATGGTGATGATGATGATGATGGTGGTGATGGTGATGGTGATGGTGATGATGACGGTGATGGTGATGGTGGTGATGGTGATGATGGTGATGGTGATGATGATGGTGATGGTGATGGTGATGGTGGTGATGAAATGGGACAAGGATGAAACAGGATGAACAAAATTGAACAAATACAGTCATTTTATATAATCTTTGAAGACTCACTGTCTTTTGAACACCGTGAAATCGCCCTGAGCTCGGCATCCTTGGACGGCTCCCATGGGCTCCCGTACTTGCCAATGATGTCCAAAGCCACCGAGCCAAAACGCTCTTCCATGTCGATGGTTTTGCCTTCGATAGCAAGGGAACACCATGGAACACTGATCTTGAAGTTCTTTAAAGTCTTAAAGTATCTTGCAGTCATGTTCATCCCAAGCTCCAACCGCTCACAAGCTGTCTCCGTGTCCCATCTCTTTCTAAGCTTACATTGCGTCAATGTTTTTTGAATGTTTATGGATGTTTACGGATGTTTGTAGTGGATTGACGTTCATTCACTTCGTCTGAGCCGATGAAACTTGCCGGCCTGTACTTGCAGCCTGCTTCAGCGTGGTCACCAAGAGCTCCCCAGCCCGGCCAAATTCCGAGACCTGTCGGTGGCCAAAGTGACATGTGCTTATGCAAAGAATCGGGCTACCACCGCATAAAAAGCGCAATGATTATTCAGAAATACTTGCATTTTTCAATTCCATGTTTTTGCAATTGTCTTTTTTACCTTTCTCTGAATTGCATTTTTCAATCCAATTTTTTGCATTGTTTCTGCATTTTGTTCAAGTTGAAAAACATCTAGAACAAGCGCAATTCGACAGCACAAGCTTACCTGTATTCACATGCATTGGAAGAGATGCAACGATTGCACTGCTTTCGCATGATATCAAATGATGAAGGTATGGTAGAACGGAGGATTAGTACACCTCCGCAGCACACTGGGAGGTACATCGCTTCCCTGCTATCATCAGCACAACCACCTTCATTCCCACAAGGTATCCGAGTGGAAGGCCAAGAGTCAAGAGTATGAGCTGAACGATTGGTCTGAGACCATGCAGTACTTGGACAGTTAATGTTCTCCCGCTGCTTGCATCTGCTTGTAAGTCAGCATTAAGCCATATTAAGATACAGTATTAAGATATATTAAGATATATTAAGCCTGTAGTGCAAATGTGGGAAGTTCACTCCGGGTAGACGGCAGTTTCTGCAAACATGACTCTGGAACTGGACGGCTCAATTCAGGGCACCGTGAAATGGCTGGAATTGGCTGGATGCACAAGTCTGAAATGTATTGAAATGTCTGGCGAAGTTCTCTGTAGCGGGATGGCTTCTCATCTGACATTCATCCACCATCTCTATCTCTCCATCGCCTTCATCCACCATGTGGGAACAATTTTAAAGCCAGGCAGTGCCCCTTAAAACTTCCCTGGTTCTGCACCTGGAAGTTGAGCCACTTTTGATGGAAGCCAGGCCTTGGCGTCAAAGGCGCAGCATCATTGGCTTTTCTGAAGATGGTAACGTCAGTCTGGTGAATTTGGGTCAAACGGTCTGCATAAGACACCAGCAGCTGACTGTCAGCTGACACTCAGTTTCATGAATCAAACGTTCTTCCAAGTTTTCCAAGAAAACGCGCTGAAAGGAAGTGAAGTGCAAGACTTCAAGATACTTCAAGTGCTTAGCTGCCCGGCACGATAGCCTTTCTCCGAACTCTCCAGGTCTCAAAATCTGCAGGGATCAAGCCTCTCGAAAGTGCACGTGAAGACAGCCCAGTGGCAGCCAGTAGAACTTGATCCAGGTCAGTTGTTATTACTCTTGTTGCCCACTTCGCCCACACATCCACATCCCATGAAATGCACCAGGTCAGCATCTGCCCTCAGTTGGCTTGAAGCCGTTAACGTTTAAATATTGTTTAAATACATCCATATGGATCCATATGCTGTACCTATATCTACCTTCCAAGCTATCTCGCCTTTGCCCATGACATCCTCCAAGACCTCACCCAACACCTTGGCGTGGCACCAAGGTAGCCATATCGCAGCAGCTGTTAAGAATCAGCCGAGTCGGGAACACCCTTGTCATAGTTGAAGACTTTTTCCCTCAGGATGTGCTTCAAGATCTGGGGGTCAGAGACCACCTGGCAAATCTTCCCGTCCCACCATGCTACTGCTGGATTGATTCCAATCCGTACTAGATGTACTAGTTACTATAGGGTTCTATAGGCTATCCCTTCAACGGTGCACACTTGGTATAGAAAGGCCAAACGAATGTAAATCATGCATAACAATGCAATAAATGGCGGTGTTTGTGACCATCCCATCTTGCAGCAAAAGCAACCGCAAATTTTACCTTCATGGGCATGTGTTGAGAAGTTGAGATTCCTCAAGTTTCCAAGCCCTTTAGGGCACCATGAAGCTCTTTGGGCCGAAGCAAAGCTTGTAGACCTTAGCACGTCAGTCACAGGAAAGTCATACAAATTGGTGTTCGACCATGTTTGGAAATAGTGCTCATGCCACCAAACTGTGGTTCCCCTCACAAAAAGGCCGCACATGGGTGGATGATGGGCTTTCCCAAGTGTTCCGATGATACTTCGACACTCGTCCAAAAAGAATTGGTATTCACCTGAATGATCTGAGCCTCCCTCAGGGCCCAAGTGCATATGCTACTGACATCAAAAGACATCTACTGCAACTCCCGATGAAGAAAGCCTTCCAACAATTTCCAACAAGTTCTGAGACCAAAAGAATCGGAGCTGGAGTCCACTGGAGGCTCTTGAACCTGAAAATTGCCTGATCGCTACCCTACCCTAACCATGGGCTGGGAGATTTCGTGGCCAAGTCCCGGCGCGAAGGGAATCCCGGCATCGCCAAAGCCTTCCTGGTACTTTTGCAAGCCCAAGTACCTGCAAGGGGATGGGCTTGGCTGAGGAAAGCATCAATTTCCTCCAGCATGGCACCATGTTGGAGCTCTCAATGGAAAACATTGCTGCTGGGCAAAGACCATGCGGTCTGTGAGGTCGCCATGGATGCAAAGTTCTGGTTTTGCCTACTGCATGGACCCGCTTGAGGGCTACTCAGCCGGTGCCGCAGGGAGGTCACATTGTGCCATCTGTCCTTGGCGCCGCTGGGGAACCATTGCCATCTATGCAAACAAAAATGATGCAACCAATGCTAAGCCCATGCTAATCTGAAAGGCTAAGTGTGCTAGCCAGAATGGATCAAGATATATCAAGATCAACATGGGTCAAAATGGCAATGGATGCAATGGCTAGCGTGCCACCTTCAGCCTCGACCTCTGATGCCTTCAAAATCTTCAAAGATGCCGATGAGATCCCGCACAAGCCAGCACTGGCCAAATCTCCAGTGGCCAAGGGTGCTCCATCCTCGTGGCATCTCGCAACAAATGTGACTGACACAAAATGACACAAACACCACCCCCCGGTGACAGTGACAGAAAGAAATGGATTTTGAGTGTGGATAATATGTTTATATGTTTCAAAGGGCCACTGTTGGAGTTCCATGCTAAATTTGAACCATGTAAGACCGCTTTGACGCATCTTCAGAGTTCTGCATGTTCTGCATGAGCATTGTGAACAATTTTGATCTGGGAATTCGGGAATTCCCTCGACGTCTCGTTGCAATGTGGCTGCTTCATGTCGCTTCGTCCTGACTGGACACTGAGATACACTGAGCATCCGACGTATGACGCTTCACCTCCAAAGATCTGCCTTTGGGCAAGGGGTTTGCTTCAGGCAACTCGCATACACGTGCGAGATGCATTGAGTTAACTGATTTTGATTAATTTTGGTAGGAGAATCATATAGTAAGATGCGAGAAGTAGTTTTTACATGTTTTTCCACCATCCAGGCTTGGCGAGTGAGAGAGCGCTAAACCTGGTCCTGAACCCCCGTGGCTTTCCTCTGGTGTAAGGGGGCTGTTGCCCGTTCTGACTTTTATTGGGTGCCCAGTTCTCCCCTTTGGGTCACAGTTGGTTGCCCCAAGTCCATGTGCTAAGTTCACTACTCGATGTTGGTGCGGAAGATGTGCATGGTGTCCTGACAGGCAACCAGCAACAAGTTCCTGCCGCTTCAGCAGCTGGGCGAGGTTGACGCCCCTGAGGCACCCAACACCAAGGCACAAAGGCTCACCAGCCTTCCCACGAGCCTCATGCCGCGATTCAGCAAGGAACGGTAACGGTAAAATTTTCTCCAGACATAATAATAATCATAATACTCCTTGAAACAAATTTGTATCAACCTGGTGCGCTTTTGCTGCTGACATGGTCGCAGCTGACAGGTCGGTTGTGATCATTCACACCTGCTGCTTGCAGAAGCTTGTTTTGCCGAATGTAGTTTAGCTACGTGGGGTCGTAATATCTTGAAATCAGCTGACATCAGTTGAAACTGGGAAGAACTCTTTGTCGCAAATCCTGGAGTCTAAATATTTGAAGCAAAGCGGCAGTGAAGGGAAGTGTCCAAAAGGCTTCCCACCACCAAGGCAGACCTGTCAGAGCAGTGCGAGTTGTGAGAGCATTGGAGCCGCTAAGCCGGTTCCTGCTTCACTCAGCCTTCCACTTCGCCTTCTTTCACCTCAAGTGCGCCAAACAAGGCAACCCCCACTCGCTCTGACGCCATGCGGAACCCTGCGTGAAATACCAACAATCTGATCAATGATGATCAATCTGATCACCTTTTTGAGCACTTTCAGCTTTGGAAATTGCTAGCAGCTGGCCCAGTCTTTGTAGGCTGTCCTGCTGACGGAAAACAAGGCTCACTATTTTCAGCCTTGCCCAATGGAACGATAAGCTATGTTGTTTTCTTTGAGGTTTTGCCGCCGTTTCGGCTGTTTCATCCCAAGCATGGGAGCAAAGTAAGCACAAAACCACGGCCACAGGGTTTGATCCAACCAGTTGATCAACCATAGCCACAGCTACCACAGCTCAGAAATTAGGACGCAAGTGGTGCCCGCGAGGAGATGCTGTCTGGCCTTCCAGGGGGTCTATTGGAAAAAGGGAAAAAAGACGAACAATGGGATCTTGGGATTCCTTGGGGCCCTCAATGTGAACAAACCAATCCATGAGCAAAAAAGGTGTCACGTTGAGTGGCTGCCATGAAGCAAACCTGCCTCAGGCTCTACACATGTTCCCAGAGGGAATGAAGATTTGTTAATCCAGAAAAATTACTACAAGTGCCAATGGACTACCCCAGTGCTACAGCGGACACATTAACTCAGGTAGCTGACGCTACCTTCGTGATATGATCAAATGGTCGTGATTTTAACACTTCGTGAAAGGAATGATGACCAGAACATGCACGTCAATAACAAGCCCAGAACAACCAAGGCAAGTTGCTGGTCCAAGAAGACCTTGGCTTGCAACACGTTTCATAGCTCATTCATTAATGCTCATTGTTTCCAATACAGGACCCTATGACCCCATGGGATTCTGAAACGAAGAACATCGGGATATCCCAGATGTTTTTCAATCTTCTATGATGGAAACACCCCGCACAGAGTCCCTTGAAAGAATGAGAAAAGCGCTTAGGATCGCGTAAAGAAACGTCACATGTCCAACATTGCCAGCAAGGTTGTTTGAATGGCGGGCCCCAACTGGCTTGGACTTAGAGAGAGAGAGAGGTGTGACTGTTGATGTTTCTGCCTGCCTGCCTGTCTCCATCGATCTATATACAGTAGACATTACCCATCCATCCATTCATTCATCCATGCACCTATCTGTGTATCTGTATATCTGCGCATCTGTATACATTTGTGTATAGCATAGGCAGGCGTGAGTGGATCAATGTATATATATATATATTGTATATATATATATATAGATATTGTATATATATATATAGAGAGAGAGAGATACACACACAAATATATATAAGATCTGTGTGTGTGTGCATACTAGATTCTAGATTACACACTCTGTGACCTGTCCAATCTCGGTGGTATAAACACTTAGCTACAAACCACCTTCAACATTGTCTTCCTCATCTACGTACCACAGCTGCGAGGAAGAGCCACGTGGGAGTCCCCGGAGACACGGACCAATGCGGCGGCGGCAGCCTGCAAAGGCACGAAATTCTCGGCCCTTCGCAAATTGTGGTTTGGCAGTGTGCAGTAAGTAATCACCAATTTTCCTATATTTTTCTTATAACCTGAAGTAGTGACACAGTCAAAACGGATCACAAGATAACCTTCTATAGACCCCAAGTCGAATTGTCATGTCGGTTGCAACCTGTCTCAACCGCAAACAACATTTTGATCCAAGCTCCCCGGGTCAGCCACTGGCCGTGCCTTTCCGAAGATGGCCCCAGGGTCTGCAGTGGCATACCAAGCCCTCCGGGCAGCCCTCCTGACGGCGGCACAACCAATCTCCCTAAGACATATAGATCCAATACGAAACTGTTCAATACTTTTCACATGTTTGGTGCAGGAAAGGCCTTATTTTTTCAGAAATCCTCAATGAAATGCTTCACGTCTATTCGGTTGCACGTGGTGTCACGTGGTTATCCTTGGGCGTGCCAACCGGCAGGTTGCCACGGCTGTAGTGGCACCTCAAGGTGGAAGTGTGTTTCACCCTCCATTGGGTCCATGGGCACAGCAGCTAGCAGTGCGTTGGAATTGTCAATTTGGCTTGTTATTGTTCGTTCAACCTCAACTATCACATTGTCACATGCCTCTTGTGAGCAAACGTGGTTGCTGTATATGGCCGTCACTTCATTCAAAGAATGATATGCTCTCAGTCAAAAAAATGTTCTGGTACAACCTCGAAACCCTCTTCAATGGTCGGGTCTTACGAGCAAGAAACCAGAATGACCTGTCCAGACTCTGAAGTTAAGACTCTGAAGCTGGTGTGGGTCCCATAGGTATGGACTCATCCACAAAGGGGGGGTGGTTCCACTTGAAGCTATGTCTCAACCCAATGTGATAAATCCAAGTGAAGAGATTTACCTGCGCAAACATCAAGCACAATGTGAATCCAAATGATCCAAAATTCAACATGGATCAACATGGAATCTGAAACACAGTGAAATGATGCAGGAAATCCATGGAAATCCACAAATTGATTGCATGATATTGCCATGGCTTGCGCTTTTTGTTGTTATTTTCCTTCATCTTCCAGCCCTTCAACGAAGGCGCTGCACTTGGCGCCGTGCCAGCCCAGCTGTGGTGTGCTGAAGCTGGGACCGCCACATTGTGGCTGGCTCCCTGGGGCCTTGGCCATGTTTTGGAATCCCCCACTCAGGGCTTGTGACTTATTTTTGGGTGGGGAAAGAACTGCTTTTTTCAGGTAAGGCTTTGCGATTCCCATCCCCCACATTGCATTTCAACTGTGTAGTACCAAAGCAGGAGATCACTGCCAGCATGGCATACCCTCAGAGGCTGGAGCTGACATCTTGCCCAGCAGAAGCCCATCCCGACTTCCCAGGGCCCCAGTTGAGGGTCCAACGTGCGCAAACCAAAGAAGAAGTTCCAAGTACCTGAGCTCAAACACCCAAGAAACTCAACAAACCTTGATTCCTGAGGTTTCCTTCAGTTCCATGTATGTCACCAAGGCATTATCGCGCAATGTGATGTGATGTGACGTGACGTGATGTGATGTGATGTGATATGATGTGATGTGATGTGATGTATGGGTGGGTTGGATGGAAAAGGTTGACATGGGTAGACATGACATGGGTGGATATGGGTGGATATGGGTATGGGTGAGTATGTGTGGGTATGCGTGTAGACGTGTATGGATAAGTACGGATATGCACAAATATGTATGGATGTGTCTGGGTACGTGTGGATGCATGCGTGCATGCGAGCATGCGTGTATGCGTGCATGGATGTGTGTGTGTGTGTGCGTGAGGTTATTGGTACGTATATGTGTATGTATATGTGTATGTATATGATATGATATGGTTGTGTATGTATATGTGTCTATACGCGTGTTTATGTGTGTGTGTGTGTCTATGATTGTCACTGTGTGTGTGTCTATGTGTGTGTGTATGTATACATGTGCGTGTATGTATATATAGTTATAGGTATACTTCGCACGGCGGGCGGGCACGCATATTACATAATTAAAAAATATTAAAAATATGAATGTGTGTGTGTATTTGCGTTTAAGTCTGGATTTCTGAATCTATATTTGCTGACATACCGAGTTTTTCCAAAAAGTAGCCATCCGTAGGAAGTCGAATAGATACTATCTCACAATTTCCTTACATACAAATTATATCAAATTATATCAAATTATATATATCATATTATGAAGTTATCTTAGTTCATCACGCTCTGTTCATTTAATTCAAAAAAGCAGCACTTACAAAACCAGAAAGCTATGAAAGTTTGATTATCCTTTCCGATGTGGACAACTCGGGGTGGATTTGCATCCGAAACAAGGTTGGTTAACAGTCAGTTAGTCACCCCACCATATCCCCGTTCACCAATTCCACTGTACAACCGAAATGCTGTCACCTGATTTTATCCTGATTGTTCTGTTTTGTCATATTTTATCCATTCCATTCCATTTCTTATCCTCAGCATTTCGAAAAAATGCTGTGTTGCTCAGCTGTCACAAGGTGGCAGTGTCTTCCCATGCGCCACCAGGGGCCGCCAGGGCACTTGCAAAGCCACTGGTCTCACTGTGCTCCGGAGCTTGTGGAACTTCGTTGACCAGCACTGCTGGAGGGTTGGCGCTGGACCTAACAGGCAGATGTCAAGAGGTGCATGGTCAATGTCAGCTACAACTGGGGATCGGCAATCTGAAATCGAGCACTGCTTGGCTTTGAAGGCTCCTAGAAACGAAGTAGGGATTGCACAGGACGTACAGGTGAAGGATTGTTCTGCTCCACTTTCAGTTGGAACATCTAAATCTCATCATTTCATACCGTGTGCTGCTACTTGCTGCCTTTTTTTAGGTGCACGCGTAATTCCCAGCCAAATCCATGAAGATCATGAGGCAACCATGAGTACATACCCACGTCCATCCGCGTCCCCATCAAGCAAGATTCGACTTGTTATGGTCACGGATGGTCACGGGCTGATTTTAGTTATTGACTCGGTCAATGTTCGACTTGTTATGGCCCTGGTCGCCGATCCTTGTGCTTTATGCCCCTGTGCCCGCCCAAAGGACCAAATTTCCATGACAAGCATTGACAAGCTGCGACGGTTGCGAAGCTTCGGCATTTGAAGTGTCATTGTCCGGCGCAGACTCCTGCGCCATGAGTTCAAGCCAACCTCTGGAAGAAGTTGCCATGGGAAACCCGAAAATCGTCGAAAGGACCTTACTTTCTAAGTTCAGTGCTGAAGTCATCCAACATCTACAAATAACAATTATTAAGAAGGGATTGGAAGAAGATAATCAATCATATCAAGAAATTCAAATGTCTGCTCATGTCTGCCGGCCAAGTCTAAGTCCTTCAGATCTTCCATCTCCACCAACAAGCCACTCACGGCTGGCGCCAGCACCGTGCGGCGCTTGCGGTATGCTGGGCCGCCGGCGTCCATGACCAGGCTGCTGCGAGCTTCTTCCACCACGTGCACTGGCACCTGCGGTCCATGGCCAATAGTAAAAGACAGCAGCCCAGAGATAAACATGGAAAAACACAGATTTCGAGGAATATACGAGAAATTCTCCCTGCGCGGCTAGTGGTTGCGTAACCACTGTAACCACATCTAAAACAAACTATGTAATATAGTAACTCATCACAAATTGTATCAAAATGTTACCAACAAGAGTTTGCCCAGCATTTGTTTTCTTCAATATTGGGTTGATTCGGTTGATTCGTAATTTTTGCCCATCCATGCCCATCCCCTTCCATGCCCGTCCCTTCAATGCCAGTGCTGTAGCTTCATGTCTTCCCAACACAAGAACTGCTGCTTGGTGCACAATTGTGCCAAGAATGCAGCCGCCAGTGGCCTCATCATATAAAATGTAAAACACCTTAGCTATCCACATCGAAGTGACACCACCTTTCCCCAAATCCAGATAGGCACGCTGCAAAACGATGCAAAACGGAGATATGTTCGCTGGGGCATGCTTGGACAATGATGAGAAATTGGTATATACAATGTATATACAGTGTATATACTGGCGTTGGATCGGATGTGGCACGGCTTCAGATCTTGCATGCTGTCCAGGTCACACAGTCCAGCCGCAGCACACGCTCTTCGGCGGCCTGCGGGGAGCGTCGAAAGATGTCGAAACCAAAATCTACAGCTGTCAAGCTATTTCAGGGTCTCATTTCCCACACCTGTCGCGATTTAAGACAGAAGAAACTTGAATGGAAGTGACCTGTGATGACTACTCTTGAAACATCTTGAAACTGCTGTGGTCCCTTGTTGCCCTGAATGCAACTTGCAGGAAGGTTCGTTGATGTTCGTTGTATTTCTTGTTGCTCTGGCAGCGTTGCGCCTTGAGATTTTCTTCCCTTTGGGCATCAGTTCTAAGCCCCTTCGGGTAGCGCACTGCGCTGCCTAGGCATGCCGTGCTTATCTTGATCACCGATCGTTTGCTATGGCAGCTATCGCTGCTATGATTTCGAACATGATCTGCAGAGGACTTCTGGTCTCAAAACTTCAGAGGATTTACAGGTGGGATCAGGCGGGACACATGGGACATGTCACTGGGTCCCTTCCAGCATCCCTCTTTGCCGAGTGGCCGCTGGCTTCCAAATCTCGGATCTTCTGTGATATCTCCATCAGATTCCTTGGCTTTCCCAGGGTCGATGGTCTGTGGATGTCTGTGGCACCAGCTCTGGAAGGGGTACCATGGGGTAGTGGATCTGCCAGAATCTTTCCATGACGAGATTCTCGTAGTGCCTTTGCTTTCCAATTTCCGTCATCATCCAATCAACTCCTTGTTGGCAAAAAAAGAGACGCCATAGACATGGATGTTTACCACACAAAAATCTGCTGACATGCAACCTTGTTCGGCCAATGTGGGCGAACTAAAAAAAACATACATAACAGTACATAACATCGAAAATTGGCCGAACTTCCTTTGCAAAATCATCCTGAACCTCAGCAAACTTCCGGACACTGCTCCTGCTAATGTTGTGAAGAAATATTTTGCCATTGCGATGCCTGAAGCGAAGTGCCATCCCCATAGTGATGGTTTTGTTCAAGACGTTCAGGACATGTTATTTCAGCACACCCCAGGACCAAAGATGACCAAAGACTTGCCAGAACAGAACTGATGAACACTTATATGGCAGCAAGTGATGGAAACCTCTTAGTAGCGCTTCAAGAAGTTGTGATGGATGACATATATCATATTACGTAATATACCATCATATACCATCATATGCCTGTGGTCTGCTCAATCACCGCATGCATCATGTCTTTCTCGTTCACGGAATCAAGGGTGATTAAGATGTCTGAGTCCATCGTGCATTGATGAGGCGCACAATCTCACTTGTGGGGAGCGGGACCTTTTAATCCTTTTACTATTTCTCAGCCACACTGGTGGAAGCTGCATTAGATTCATTAGATCATATTGGTATTGAGACAGTTGAAGAACATGTCTACTCTTACGGGCCAATCGATGGTGCCTACCTGAAATTCATGTACACATATGTATACATGGGCTACCTGAAATTTATGTACTCACATGTATACATGGGAATCGCATGGAATCGCGGCATGCATGTGTATATATATAATATGTATATATACCAGTATAACAATTAAATATATATATATATGTGTGTGTAGATATGTGTACTGTGTATATATATATATATACATACACGTACATACATGTGTGTGAAAGCTGATGTCCGACCAGCAGCACTTTGGATCTCCCACGATTCTTCTGTGTAACACTTCAAATGAATCCGCCCCATCCCTGGAAGCCCACCACAACTGTTGGAAGGTGAGATCATGTGAGGCAGCTGGTCACAGGCAACAAGGTGGACTTGTGGAAAGGTTTGTGGTTTTAAGCCCCTAGCAAGATTCCTCCAGCGAGAATCGTCATCCAAAATTGAGCCAACAAAAAATGAGGAAACATTGATCATAGATAGATCGTATTTCCCCCCTGACCCACCTCAACCCTGAGACACTCTCAGGCCTGCAAGTTGAACCCAGAAGCCGGGCTGCAGCACTGCCACCTGCTCCCGGTATATATATATATATATTGTTTGTATGGTAGTACTCCGCTTCCAAAACTTACAAAAGAAATGAAACCAGGCTGATTCATTCACCAGGGCTATTGACTACTTGCTGTCTTGGGTGCACGTCCAAGTACCTATAATGTCATTATAACAGATTGAATATGATTGAAGATAGAAAGACAGAACTGAGAAGCAGCCACTGTGCCACGGGATGCGTTTTCCTGAATTCACTTCTCAGGGGTTCCATGCCAGTTCAGGTCATCATTCGAATTCCACTGTGAATGTGATGGCACCAAGGGGAAGTATCATGAAGTACCTATATCTCCACAAGAGAGAAGCAAAGTGCAGACATGTCTTGGAGAACCCAAGTACCACAGTATACCACAGTATACCACAGTATACCACAGTATACCACAGTATACCACAGTATACCACAGTATACCACAGTATACCACAGTACCAAGGGCTACCCGCATTTCAGGACCTCACCGTTCGCCTGCTGGACGATGTATCGGTAGGCATCCCTTTCGACGCTGTTCTCATCGCCAGGTTCCGCATCCAGCATGATGAGTTTGTATCGCTTCCAAGCAAAGGTGCAAATGAAAGCCTTTCTGCAAAGGAGCAGCAAAAAAATTGGCAAACATTGGGGCATGGATGGGCATGGGGCCAAGGCGTTTCAACATGCTGACCTGTTTCAAATAAAGCATACAGTGCAACATGATTAGGCATGATTAGGCGGTTTATGATGATGAGCTACCAAATCTACCAACTTTCACAAGCCATTGCCAGGAGGAACCGGCCTTTTTCCTTGGTCCTTGATGTTTCCTTTGCTTGTGTCCCCCAGCATGGCCCCAAGTTGGCACTTGATCGTAGCTTAGGAGCATAGCCGACCACTGCTATGATTGCAGAGATGCGATTCATGCCTTGGATCACAGCACCAAACCAAACACCCGACCATTAATAACAGTCGTAACAACAAGCTAAGTAAACCACACAATACGGACTTACTGACATAATATTAGGTAGAGAAGTAAAAATCAGTTCCTCAAGTGCCACTGGATGAAGGGAACAAAGCTGGCAACGCACGCCTCTCAAGAAAATCTTGACCCCATCTCCCTCCATATGTGAAGTCATCATGAATCATCTATGATCTTCCGCTCCCGTGCAGTCCAATGGTCTCACCATGACTTGTGTGATCGCCTCGTCGGTTAAAGGCCTGGTAATTGAATAGTAGGTGCCCAAGCCAAGGTACACCTCAGACTGGGCATAGCTCAGTTTGAGTCCTGGTTGAACTACTTTACCATTGCTGGAGGTTGAGTCGTGGGGCGGGTTCCCACACTTAGCAGAAAAAGGATCATCCATCAGTGGGCCACGCAGCAATGCCTGAAGGAGATGGTGCCATATATCCCATCGCTGGGTGCTGGACAAAACTGGTGCCAGGTAGCCATCGGTGCAAAGGCCATCACCAGCAACCCCAGCAGCATCCAGATATCCCCCAGCAGCTGGAAAGCGATATGATACATTCCTAGGCTCCAGGGTACGCATGAACATGAATTGTGTAGGTGGATGTTTGGAGTACTCTCTCGCTTTTTGGGGGATGTTCAATTCGGACATATTCTGACCAGAGCTGAAAAATCTTCTTTTCAAGTAGTTTTTCTACTCTTCATGTGAGCCTAGTAGATCTAGTAGTGCCCTGCAACTCTTCTCATCATACTTGGCGGCATCCAAACTGGATCTGTTTGTTAGAATGCCCACTTCTGGACTAAGCTACGCACCATTTGGCTGGTCTGCTGCCGCCTAGTCTCCCCACGTCAGTGGACAATACAGCAAGGGTAGCACGATCACCTTGGTTCCACTCGATCTTCACTCGTTCAACACCCAGCTGCCAAAGTTCATGTGGGATCCACATGGGAAGTCCCATGGTTGATGCATGACCTAAGCATGCCACCAGGAGCCGAGATCATCCTGAGGTTCAAGCGAACATGCCCGGGATGGTGCTCTGCGGTGCTGTGACTTTCCTGAGCTTCAGCAGTTGTACGAGTAATATGTTGTGGTACAATTTGGAGCGGTGAAACATAAGCTTTGTCAGCTGTGTCCCAGCATTCTGTTGGTTGTGATTCCATACAACTATTGTGCGCATCCATACATGCATATACATGCATATATATATATTATATTGCATGGTATATATATATATTATATATATACCTCTCTACATGTATATATATTATATATTATATATATGATATGCAACAACTAACATACTGTCACTTGGTTGCACCTCCCGACATCGTCCCAGACTCACTTTCAACGCCCCTCGCAGCATGGCAGGGGCCAAGGCCAAGGCAGCTGGCCTTCAACCGGGTTTCACATGGTTTCACCAGGGCACCGATCAACAGTCATCATGGTCAGCCAACCCCTAAAACTAACAATATATATATATATAACCGTCCTGTTTCTCTGTCAACCGCCTTTTTTTCGCAGTGAAACAGTACCCTGATCCAAAGATTTTTTGCAACAAATTCATAACTCAGTTTCATCCCAAATTCATCCATATAAGAAAGGATCTTAGCATAACCCACTCAAATTTGTCTGGAAAGTCTAGCTATAGTGTCTCAGTTGTAGCATGTTATAGCTATGGTTATGACTCTAAATATCTCTAAATAACCTACTGATCTAAGTGATCTAAGTGCAAACAAAGGACATGATGGTGGTGAAGCCGCGAAGCCTCAGGCCATGCCGCCATGCCCAGTCACTTGAGCTACAGTCCAGGTGCCCGACTAAGGTCCTGACCCATTCGCCTCAGCCAGTCACAAAGCATCTTTGGATATCTTTGGATCGGGTTTCTATATGTTTCTATGGATTCCGTCGTTTACACCGTTTTACCTTAAGACCCTGGGGAATCATAGTCGGCAACCAAATACTTTATGCCTTTCAGTTACTTTCCCTTCCTTCTCCGTCTCCGTCAGAATTGCAACATTTAATGCATGCTTTATTTGCTTAATTTCAGCCAGTTGCTCCCGTTCTGATTGTGCGCAAATGACAGGAGAACAGCACCAAAGATGATCCAAGATGCAAAGCCCATCCCCATCGACACACTCTGCCTGGGCCGGGTCCGATGTCCGGGTGACTGGTCTCGGCGGCAAACTTTGGGGTTTTACAGCGGTACTTAACTACTGTAACTACTTCGTTAGTAATAGATAGATGGATAGATAGATAGATAGATGGATGGATGGATGGATGGATGGATAGATAGATAGATAGATTAGGATAGATTAGGATAGGATAGGATAGGATCGGATGGGATGGGATAAGACAGATTAGATAGATTAGTGGATAGAGTAGTAGATGGATCAGTAGGTAGATTGGCAGATAGATTGGCAGATAGGTTGGCAGATATATTGGCAGATATATTGGCAGATAGATTGGCAGATATGTTAGCAGATAGATTGGCAGATAGGTTGGCAGATATATTGGCAGATATATTGGCAGATAGATTGGCAGGTAGATTGGCAGGTAGATTGGCAAATAGATTGGCAGATAGATTGGCAGATAGATTGGCAAATAGGTTGGCAGATAGATTAGCAGATAGGTTAGTAGATAGATTGGCAGATAGATTGGCTGATAGATTGGCAGATAGATTGGCAGATAGATTTCCAGATATATTAGCAGAAAGATTAGCAGAAAGATTAGCAGATAGATTAGCAAATAGATAAGTAGATAGATTAGTAGATAGATAAGTAGATAGATTGGCAGGTAGATTGGCAGATAGATTAGCACATAGGTTGGCAGATAGATTAGCAGATAGATTAGTAGATAGATTAGTAGATAGATTGTCAGGTAGATTACTAGATAGATTAATGGATAGAAATTAATAGATAGAAATTAATAGGTAGAAATTAATAGATAGAAAATAATCGATAGATAGAAAATAAAGGATAGAAACTAATAGAAAGTATATATACAGTATATATATATAAATCAAAACAATAGAAAGAAAATAATAGATAGAAAATAATAGATACTGTAGATAGAAAGTAATAGGTAGATAGATAGATGGATGGATGGATAGATAGATAGGTAGGTATATAGATTGCATGATTTTAAATATTAACATTAATTAAATATCTATATTGATAAACGACTCTGGTAAAAAGTTTAGGACCAGGGGCAGTCAGAATCTGCTGGAAGCGCACTGAAGAATTTTCAATAAGATCTTTCAGCTTGAGGCTGCCCTTGGAGAATCTAGTGCATTCACCGATTCACGTGCTTATCCCGTCACTTTGTCACATGTGGCATCCAAACACCATTCACCTCGCTGTGGATCGCCAAACTCACAGGTTCTGATTCTCGTCACTTCGAATACTAATTCAGAACATGATCAAATTATCCATATGTTATCATATGTTGATGTCCTCCAAGTTCTCCATTTCAATCTTTGTCGGTTGTATCCCGTATGCGGTCGGCCCCAAAGAACCAACCGCCCATTCTGCGTATTTCTGCATCCCAAGCACTTCATTCGTTGGGCCACTGGGCCGGCAGTGGCTGCTACCTCGAGGGCATTCTCGAAGCCCAGCTCGATGGTATCCTGCACTGCGTCACTGCATGTCCAAAATTCAGACTCATGCCATGGGCAAAACATGGTGAGGTATAGTCATTCATCCCATAATGAGAATTCTTATGATGAATAGTGACCATAAAATCCGTACTAATGGATTGACGACCATCCTCCAGCATGATCAGCATGAGCAATTTACCCAAGTTCTGACGGAATTCGGTGCGAGCGAGGTCGCAGCACCAACGCCCCTTCCCGGTTAAGGATGTTTAAGGGGGTTACGAGGTGTCAGAAAAGAGGCAAGCGGCGCGAAGTCCACAGAGTCAAACTCCAAGCACTGGTGGCGGGTATCTGACCCCCTACAATTCACAGCCATGACAGGAGGATGTGACAAAGCATCAACTATTACAGGTGGGTCGCCTCGCAAAGCAGCCCCTCTGCATTGAAAGCAAAGGCATAACATCAACAGCTCACGACTGGCATTATCGGCATGAAATATAGCATGTGACGGGAAATGACCACATTCTGAGGCACCTAGTCTGAATCATGTGACAATGTCCAATGGAAAAAAGTCCAAAAGCAGCAAAGAACTCGGCATACAGTCTTGATCCATCATGAGGTAAACAAAAATCACACGCGGCTGCACTGAAGGTAGGCACCAGAAGGCTTGCGGTTTTCCATAAACAACGACTGTCATAGCAGGTTTCGCCGGTATTGTCAACAATGCACTTCGGACACAGCGCAGAAGGTCTGCGCACAGATGTCAGTACCAAGAATCAGGACGATGTCAGGCGTTCAATTCCAAGTATATAGGACAAATAGGCAAAGTCAAATGACACCAACCAGGGGCAATTGACAATCTGGAAAACAGAGAACTCAGCACATCAAGATGGCATGAAATGTCTCACTTGAAAACGGCATGGCTCTCTCGGTAAGGCGCCCCCCCACGCCGGCAACAGATCCAATCGTGAAGTAGAAGAAAAAGGCGCCCCCCCACGCCCGCAACAGCTCCGCCCCGTGAAGGCTCGAGCCCAGGAGCTACCCAACTTATGAGCAGGCACATATCGTGCATAAGTGGAACCTCGAAATGTACAGTGAATCAATGGCAACACGGCAACACGGTCCTCGAGGTTTGGCATGACCGTGTCACGACACAGCTCCGCCGCTTCTTCTAAGGCTTTGCGGTGCCATGGCCCTTCCTTGAGCGAGGCCGGGGCCAACGATGGCCAAAGCTATGAGAGTTATCCTTCCGCATCACTGGAGGTCTAATCATCCCTTTATCACGGAGAAAAATAACTGGGACTTGCAAGACGTAAGATTCCTAAGATGGCCTATTTTTTTGTTGCCGAGCTAAAAGCCATTCCTAGCAGGGTACTCTTGCCAGGTAACGACGACTGCCGGCTGCTGTTACAAGTTGCCCCGCTATTTAACAAAATGCGCCACGTCAAGGGGTGTACAAGGCATCATCACGTGTTAATCGTCCAAATAATGTGAAAACTTGATTGCTAGTTTCACCATGGCAGCATTGATGCTCTTTGGTCCTTCTTTAAGTGATTTTGCCTTCAACAGCCGTGAAATTTAAATGGATAGTCCTGGATAGTCAAAGTAAAGTGGCCTTAGTTGTCAATCGCAATGGAAATGGCCCCAAAATTGGAGGCTGTTGCATCCCTATCCGGAGACTTCCTAGCCGTGGGTTGTGAAAGTTTTGGAGATTGCTGCAGTTTCCTCACTAGCCGCCGTGGTTGAACACCAAGTTGCTGGGTCATTGAGGTAGTTCGTGATTTTTCCACACGTACTGGTAAGGCAAAGGCGGCAAAGGGGGCGCGATTCGCTGGGACAAACATGGGTGAGTCCAAACCAAACAGCTACATCGATTCAAAAAATACCAAGTCTCTGATGAAATCCGATGAATCTGTGGAGTTTTCAGGTTGTCTCTTTGTCCAGTGGTGTTTTACATGTAAAACATCTAAGTTTAGCCGCCCTTGATATTACCTGGTGCTACCATACGATGCCCCGCAGAAGTCGGGATCTGATCCAAGCCTAGGCCCTGCAACTCGCACCATGATCCAACGTAGTCACGATGTATTCTATTGTATGCATTGGCATTTGTTGATATTTTTTATATGATGATGAAAATGATTATGGTGAAGATGATGAAAATGATGATGATGCTGATGATGCTGATGATGCTGATGATGATGATGATCATCATCATCATCATCATGATCATCATGATCATGATGATCATGATGATCATGATGATCATGATGATCATGATGATCATGATGATCATGATGGTGATGGTGACCCTGATGCTGATGGTGGTGGTGATGATGAGGAGGAGGGGGATGAGGATTGAGATGAGGATGATGCTGAGGATGAGGATGGGGATGAGGATGAGGATGATGATGATGATGATGATGATGATGATGAAGATGATCATGATGATCATGATGATCATGATGATCATGATGATCATGATGATCATGATGATCATGATGATCATGATGGTGATGGTGACCCTGATGCTGATGGTGGTGGTGATGATGAGGAGGAGGGGGATGAGGATTGAGATGAGGATGATGCTGAGGATGAGGATGAGGATGATGATGATGATGATGATGATGATGATGATGAAGATGATCATGATGATCATGATGATCATGATGATCATGATGATCATGATGATCATGATGATCATGATGATCATAAAGATCATAAAGATCATAAAGATCATAAAGATTATAAAGATCATGATGGTGATGCTGATGCTGATGCTGATGGTGGTGGTGATGATGAGGAGGGCGATGAGGATTGTGATGATGATGATGATGATGAGGAGGAGGAGGAGGATGAGGATGAGGATGATGATGGTGATGATGATGATGATGATTATGATGATACTACATAAAGGCGCATATATATATATATATATACATGTACGATCCCCCTTGCAATTCGGCCTCCGACCCTGACCCCTGAATCTTTAAGGGACCACTGGTAGCCTCTTAAAGAATGCGAACCAGGGCAAATTTCAGCCTTAAAGAATCTAACCCCAATGAACCAAGATTGCAACACAGTAGCCAGGTATGTCCCTTTAAAAAATTGGAGGCCCAAGTTGCACACCAAGGGGTGCCCCTTTAAAGAATTGGATACCCAAGTTGAAGTCAAGCATGAAATGTTCTGAATATTTTTAAGATTTTGGATAGAAATTTCATTTTTCAACATATTTTGACAAAAAAAAACGAAAAAAAAAACTTTCAAAATTTCATTCCAATACCTTGAGAATGACCCACTGAATGTTTTAAACCTCATTGTGGATTGAATTTATGGATAGAAATCTCATTTTTCAACATATTTTGACCAAAAAAAAAAAGAAAAAAAACTTTCAAAATTTCATTCCAATACCTTGAGAATGACCCACTGAATGTTTTAAACCTCATTGTGGATTGAATTTATGGATAGAAATCTCATTTTTCAACATATTTTGACAAAAAAAAATCGGGAAAAAAAAACTTTCAAAATTGCATTCCAATACCTTGAAAATGACCCACTGAATGTTTTAAACCTCATTGTGGATTGAATTTATGGATAGAAATCTCATTTTTCAACATATTTTGACAAAAAAAAATCGGAAAAAAAAAACTTTCAAAATTGCATTCCAATACCTTGAGAATGACCCACTGAATGTTTTAAACCTCATTGTGGATTGAATTTATGGATAGAAATCTCATTTTTCAACATATTTTGACAAAAAAAAAAAACGAAAAAAAAAACTTTCAAAATTTCATTCCAATACCTTGAAAATGACCCACTGAATGTTTTAAACCTCATTGTGGATTGAATTTATGGATAGAAATGATTTTTTAAAATTTATAAAAGTGACATTTCTCATTTTGCATCATTTTCCCGTTGTGTTTTCCCCCCTTTGGGTCTCCCCTTGGGGTCTCCCCGTTGTGTCTTCCCCGTTGTACCTCCCCGTTTTGGGGTCGAAGTCCTCGGGCAGGGCTTTCCAACTTAAACATGCATTCACTATCATTCACTCTGACGTTTGGCATCTCCAGAAGCGGCAGGCATTTGACACACAACCCCAAACATACCAAAAAAATCCAAAAAACAAGTTCCTAGAATCTTCCTAGGAAGGCCTCTTAAAGAATAGGAGACCGTCAAACAAAAGGATTTCCTTAAAAAATAGAACTGTTTTTTTTGGCCGGCCAGGTATGTCCCTTAAAAAGTACAATTTTTTAAAGACATCATGTCCTGAACTTTTTAAGCTAAATTCCCAGGAGGATCATGTACGTACATATACATCGACTGAGAATACCGGGAGTCGCTTACAACAGGTCCTGTGAATTGGCCGGAAGTCAAAATCGACCTCACGTTTTGACAATGATCACCAGAAACTGCCAGAAACCACGATCTACCAGGGCAGAAGTGCTGAGTCGAATGAAATGGTAGGACTATGCATAAATAGTCAAACTCGAAAGATACTCACCAAGTAGTTGTGCTTTCAGTCGATACCTGCAAATTTATGCTAGTGAATGCTCCAGTCAATATACTTACAGCTACTGCAAAAACGGGCAATCGTGCAAGTGTTCACATCTTCTGCTATTGGAACCTGTTCAGTTGCACATGCTGCAGAATGCAATGTCATGCAATGTTTAATTGAAAGAAAATGGTTGAAATGTATTGAAATCTCCTCCAATGCTCAGATCCATTTTCTGACGCATGTTCCGCCTTTAATTCTCCAGCAAGTTGCTATCTTGATGAAGCTGCAGCATTTCAAATGTCGGTTCCTCATTTGGCACAAGGGGGTGCCACGCGATGCGCTGTAATTACCCAAGTATCTTGGCTTGTCTTGGTGTGAAAACTTGATTTCAACGTCAACATCTTCCGATCTTCAATCTCTGTGAATCGACCATCATCAAACCACAAAAATTACGTTTGCGATGACAGCACTCTCATTGCACAGCTGAGTGGCGGTGTCTTTGTCAAGGCACCACAGGCTTTCCTATCTCCCATGCACGAAAAGAGATCAAAGGCATCTGGAGGCTCAGGTTGGGAGCGTCGGTGTCCAGGATCCCAAAATGGCAATTTCCAAGAATGAAATGGTCTTTCAGGGCCCCCCAGAGTGCCCCCAGATTTTGGGGAAGTCCTTCATGAATCTGTTCCTTCTCTCTCTCTCTCTCTCCCCATCTCTCCATCTCTCCATCGATTTATCATTAGCATCTATCTATCTATCTATCTGTCTGTCTGTCTGTCTGTCCGTCCGGTCCGGTCCGTCCGTCCGTCCGTCCGTCCGTCCGGTTCGTCCGTCTCTCTGTCTGTCTGCCTACCTGTCTATCTATCTATCTAGCTAGCTATCTAATCTAATCTAATCTAATCTAATCTAATCTATCTGAATCTATCTGAATCTATCTGAATCTATCTGAATCTATCTGAATCTATCTATATCTATCTGAATCTATCTATATCTATCTGAATCTATCTATATCTATCTGAATCTATCTATATCTATCCGAATCTATCTACATCTATCTGAATCTATCTAAATGTATCTGAATCTATCTAAATCTATCTGAATCTATCTAAATCTATCTAAATCTATCTAAATCTATCTAAATCTATCTAAATTTATCTATCTATCTATCTACCTATCTATCTATCTATTTATCTATCTTATCTTATCTTATTGTATCTTTACTTTCATTCTTTCTATCTATCTATCTATCTATCTCTCTCTCTCTCTCTAATCTATCTATCTGAATCTATCTGAATCTATCTGAATCTATCTGAATCTATTTAAATCTATCTGAATCTATCTAAATCTATCTGAATCTATCTGAATCTATCTAAATGTATCTGAATCTATCTGAATCTATCTGAATCTATCTAAATCTATCTGAATCTATCTGAATCTATCTAAATCTATCTAAATCTATCTGAATCTATCTGAATCTATCTAAATCTATCTAAATTTATCTATCTATCTATCTATCTATCTACCTATCTATCTATCTTATCTTATCTTATCTTTACTTTCATTCTTTCTATCTATCTATCTATCTCTCTCTCTCTCTAATCTATCTATCTGAATCTATCTGAATCTATCTGAATCTATCTGAATCTATTTAAATCTATCTGAATCTATCTAAATGTATCTGAATCTATCTGAATCTATCTAAATGTATCTGAATCTATCTGAATCTATCTGAATCTATCTAAATCTATCTAAATCTATCTAAATCTATCTAAATCTATCTAAATCTATCTAAATCTATCTGAATCTATCTAAATCTATCTGAATCTATCTAAATCTATCTGAATCTATCTGAATCTATCTGAATCTATCTAAATCTATCTAAATCTATCTGAATCTCTCTAAATCTATCTGAATCTATCTGAATCTATCTGAATCTATCTAAATCTATCTAAATCTATCTAAATCTATCGAAATCTATCTGAATCTATCTAAATCTATCTGAATCTATCTTTCTCTATGAATCTCCGAAGTCTTCAATCTTGTTTTCTCAAGGTTCAAGAAGGGGCGGGAACTTGGGGATGAAAACCCCACCGCTCAGTGGGCAATGGGATCGGTGACAGCCCAGTCCTCGCCATGTTTTCAGCGCTTTCGACGTGGCCTTGCTTTTGTGAGTCGAGAAGTTGCTGACAGGCTTGGTTGACGCTCCTCAGCAACGGGTTGGACGTTCACAATGTGTATAGGAAGCACGTATGCTGCCGTATGCTCTGTATACGTTCATGGCATGCCTGGTTCTGAAGTACCTTGTGGCAAGGTCCTTGTTTGCATCTAATCTCGGCATCTCGGGGCTTCAAGGAGAAACCAGCAGTGTAAGCGTTCAACATGTTGTTCCACAAGAACTTGCTTAGTTTGTTCTGCCCCCTTACTCCACGGTGGCAAACAGTCATATCCTTTATTTGCAGTAGTTGTGAGTATTCAATCTGGTATCACGGTTCCTCAACACATGAATTGTAATATATATATATATGTGTGTGTGTATGTGTATATATATATATAATACGATTCGAAGTCTATAAAATCCATCAAGCCGCCCAGAAATTACCGTCAATAAATCACGACATCATGACCACCCGCCAAGTGTCAAAGCAATCTCGTCAGTGTGTGACCCCAAATGAGTAGACAGTTCTGATGCAAATGTGTGCACCACCGGGTCCAATACACCTCAATTTCCGGTTGAAGCAATTTCTCGAGGAGACTGCAACCCTGACGTGTCCTGGGGAAAGCTGTTATATGCTACCACTTCATTTAGGCAACCGTTTTGAAGTGTCTTTTGAACAGATCTTGATTCCTTGAATGGCATGCTCGGCCTTTTTTGTGAAACAGTTAAATTTCCCAGAGATCCAGTCATGCAAGATGCATTTCCCACAGCATGTCAAGTGCCGCCAAAGTGCTCCACTCCACAAAAAGTCGCGTCGGAATCAAAGTGGCCAAAAAAGGTGCCAAAAGACCTCAGCCACTGGCAGCTGGTTGCATAGTGGACATGCGCTGAAGTTTTTTTCTTAGCAGTTGATCATGATGATCATGTTTCAAGTGACGAAGAGGAAAACAAATTAACCAATGATAACAGGTGATTAAACGATATTAAACGCGTGTGAGAGAATCTCTGAGAAGGACAGAATGGTCAGAAACCTGCAGAGTGGGCCAGGCTTTCCAGGCCATTCCAGGCCATTCCAGGCCACAAGCTGCGACCGAGCAGCTGAAGGCCCTTAGCCGTGGCATTGGATGTTTGCCTATTCTGGCAGGGGAAAACTTACAAAACACTGTCGGCAGAAATCAAGTACCATCAGGCTGCCATCAGGTACCATATTGATCCATGTGAGTACCATCAGAAAACACTGATCCATGTTGGCTAATGATGGCTAATGCTGTATCTCCATCCTTTTTGTGGCTACCAAGCGTCCATCCGCGGAGAACTCCACGGTGCGACTGGTTGAAGTGGGACCACTTCCTGCCGGAGCCAATGGCGCAAGGCCTCCTGAAAATGGTCCAACGCTTCTCAAGTCACTCAAGTCCGACAGAAATGATATTTCCTACTCTTCTCCATTTAAACTTAAACATATTTAAACTACTTACTCCTCATACTCCTCCATCTTATATAGCTTATATATAGGCGAGTTTTTCGTCTTCTATCCCCTCATCATCCCTCATCCCCTGCCAGACTCCAGCCAGCCTGAGGGCCCACCAAAGATAAGCACAACTTGCCAACTGGCAGGCGACATCCACACAAGCTTCCTGGAAGGGCACGGCGGGCATGGCACGAAATCCGGAAGAGGTTGGTGTGGGAAGCTGCACGGATCTCTTTGAGGAGAATACATGAGAATACCCCATGTTCCGAAAGCTGGCCATGGCTCGGAGTACATCATCCTTGTGTATATCTAGGTGGGTGGTAGGTGGGTGGTAGGTGGGTGGGTGGGTAGGCAGGCAGGCAGGCACATAGGTAGGTAGGAAGGCGTGTACATAAATATGTACGGACGTGTTTGTGTGTGTGTGTGGATATCATGTATCACATATACAAGTCATATATATATATTATATGTATATGTGCGTGTGCAAATATGTTTATATATAGTTATCTATATATATATATATAATTATATATACACATGTCATGGGTGTGTGTGTGTGTGTGTGCATGTGTGTGTGTGTCTGTGCGTGCGCTATTTGTCATATTTGTTACTCTAATAGGTTTTTTTTTAACACACATACTACCTGTATGCACTCAATAGATCTCAATAGGTTCATTTGTTTGTTGGCTTATTTGTTGACGTCTTTATCAAGTATTCATCGATTTTCCCAGCTGCAACCGCGGGACTAGGATGTCGATCAACGCTGTTTGGCTGATAATCTTCGCGAACATGCCGGTGTACAAATGGCTTGTGTACCTGGGCCATCAATGATCACCGCCGCTCGGTCGCCCAAATGGTTGCCTTGTTCGATGTTTTTCAGTGTGGAGTTTCAAAAAAGATAGCCAGATGGCCCAAATGCAACTTTCCTGAGAGTTGCAACTCACTGGGCCAAACGTAAGCAGAAAGTGGGCAGATTTGTGCTGCACCGAGCGACTGAAACCAGGCTTCAGGATTGGTGTCAGTCCAATTTTGACCCGACAAGCTCACGAAGTCATGGAATCTCACCACCTGATGAAAGACGTCTTGGATGAAGTTACAAGATGTTACAAGTAGCCGCAAGTAAGCACTAAACCTCTAAACTATGGTGATTCATGTTCCAAACCCGAATTCCATGGATTCTGTGACATGTATCATCATGTACACAGAAAACATGTTTGACACCATTATCTGCCATTCAAGGAGAAGGGGGAGACAGGCCAAGTGTCACTTCTTCACAGTAACTTCTCAGTAGCATCCAAGGTAGCAAGGCGTGTTTGAATGTGTTTGATGGGAAACCCATGACGATCTGACCAGAACATGCCAGTCGCTCCACGATTCTTGATGTCAGAGGTCAGCATACCCCCACCAAGGCATATGACAAGATGCAACTGAACGATTATCATGCCACGCCCGCATACTTGCTGCTGCAAAACAGTGAGAACGTTAACAATGTTTCTCACCCCAAAACCAGGGAAACTAATGGGTTAAGGTGGTTAAGGGTTCCCGGATGTTCCCAATACTGCTGGCGGCCACACAGTTGCAATGCCATCCATGCCACCTTCCCCTCAACTTCAATCTTGCTCTTCTCAATCCAAAGGCCTCACCGTACAGCGGCAAATGAACTTGCAAACCAGTCAATCTTTACAGCGAAAACGTGAACTTTGATCGAATCCGACCGAATCTTCTCATCTGCCACCCTCAAAGCAAAGCAAATATAATTGTGGATGCATCGATGTCTCCTCCCCTGTCATGTGTATGTGTGTGTCTGTCCACCGCCGCACATAGGTAGTTCTTGAATTAGTCAGACATTACAGAATGATACAAAATGCGGTAACATATTTATTCCATTAAGGAAAAGAAGTCATCCTTTTCATCCTTTCCCGGCGTTCCCTTTGTTGCGGTGAATGCCCTTTGTCAACAGTTGTCAACAGTTGTCAACAGTTGTCAACAGTTGTCAACAGTTGTCAACAGTTGTCATGTGTGTTCATCTTCTGCAAGCCGAAGAGCGTCTGCTTTCAAAAGCCCTGGGCACAACTGCCAATTGGACCGCCAGTGCCAACATGCAGAAGATCACAGACACGAACCTTGGGATGCGACAAATGGCTCAGGGCCTGCTACGTTGTACATCTTGATGAGCAAAGTCTCCAAACAAACTGACAACAGCAAGGAACCATGGGCGCCCGGTGCAAGCTAACAACGAAAGGCAATCCTGAAGTGCTGAGCAAATGCATCTCGAATCATCTCAGTTGCTGTCGGAGGACTGGTACGACTTTAACGAAATTCAAGCCAGTTCCACTCCCAGCATATCCCAACATGTCGAATATGGCTAGGAAGGGATTCAGCCAATCAGCTCCGAACCACTCACCCTCTTTTCATGGCCAAACGGCATCATGCTCCGTCGAACGCTCAGAAAGTTTACAACGGCATCATTGAAGACCCGCCGCCGCGATGCAAGAAACTCTTTTTCGGCGGAGGAAAAGAGCCTCCAATCCCAGTGGCTTGCAGGTGCGGGCGCAGACACAAAAGATAGAAAAGTGATGCCTCAACATGCCTCAACTACAGTAGTTCAATGATATGTAATAATGTTATGATTCCCCACGCCATGAAACAATATGAAACATTTAAAATTGACCAAGCCTTGTTTCACCTTCCAGCGCCTGCGAAGATCCAAAAGGATGGATCTATCTTGACAGGATTTGCTGAGGTTGTTCTTGTTGGTTTTGCATGTTTTTGCGTGATTTTGCTGATCATTCTTTCTTGGAGGACAAGTATGGGATTGGCATCAATTGCTGCTTAATTAGTGATATTAGTGGCAATTTCATGTAGATCGAAACGGGGCGGCTTCAATCTGATTCATATTTCTGATATTTTCTGATTCTTTGTGGACTTGGGACGTCTGAAAGGGAATCAGTGGGTGTCTCACACCTTACAACGTTTCAGACTCGTGGCATTTGAAACTCCAAAGACATACGCCCTTGGTGCGACCTAGGAGCGTCTGATCGCCGCCTGAAGCAGTTTCCATGGAGCGCAGGAAGTGTAAAGGCAGGAGCAGAATGTAGTTTAGATACCTCAGATGGAGTTGTGGGGGTATGGATGGTATGGATGGTATGGGGTCAAGATTCAGGCAACCACAAATGGTTATTTTTTGGAGTCACAGGACCCACGGGATTCCCCCAATTTTGGGGCCTACCTGTAAATCAAGCCATTGCCCTTACCTAACTCCGATGGTTCATACTACATTGGACGTCCTGGTAGCAATCTTCATTGCCATGTTCAGGACAAGTACGTTCGCACGCAAGGGCTTCACTTCTCTTAAGTAAAAAAATGCAAACAGGCACCGACAGCCTGCATTGGGTGTGAATTGGTGCTGTGAGGGTGCCGTTATATTATATGTCCCCTTTCTGCATCTTTCTGCATAGCTTCTTCTGCCAACCAAATATATCAAATATATATAGTTCTATACTTTTCCGGGTCTGAGAAAAAATCAGCTGAGATTCATTCGCCAGTCCTTCTTCTTTTTCCAAGCAATGCTGCTGACCTTGGTTCTTGACTTTGCTCAGGTGACTTTGCCCCGGTGAACCCCGGGCAGACGAGATCAGACGAGGCTCGGTGATGGGTTCGTAAAAGCTGCCAGCAGTACAGGAAGCGCAGCAACCCTGGTGGGCCAATGCGAAGTTGGGAAAAAACATGAGAAAATATGAGAAAATCATGGAGGAGCAACACATTTTTCTCAAAAAAATATTGCCCAGAGAAAGATCATGCACACTGTTTCAAAAAATGGAACATGGGGGGAAAGTTGCTGTGAACATCCAAGAACTACCTGCCCAAAAATAACAAAACCATTGGTGAATGTCCAAGTCCCAATCATTTGCAACCAGTCCAGGCATCTGCAACCCAGCTCGCAACTGCAGCATCTAGACTCTCAGAGCTGAGCATCTTGGCCAAGGCACGGCAATCATGACCGAGGTTATCCAGAGGAGCAGCAGGCCTGTTGGGACCACTGGCATGGGCTGTATGAAATCTTCATTTAAAAAAGTTGGAACGCTATGTCTTCAAAGTGATTTTAAATATCCTTTCAAATTAGTATTATCATTGCCACATATTGCCACATTCACGTGGCCCTTGTTGCCAATGAGTGACGCTACTGTTTTGGCGTCAACCCCAACTGTATATATCTGAACTTTGTAGCAACAGTCGAGGAGCAACCACAGGTGACCAACGGTATGTTTGCAAAAGCAACCGAGTAGGTGCCGTCTAGCGGCTGGCCTACACATGCTTGCTAGGATGATCCTAAAGATTCAACTGGGCCTGTCAGAAGTAGCACCGCAGATCGGCTGGAAAAGCTGGATTCGCCAAACCACTCTGTCCAGCTGCTCTCTGCCTCAGGCACATCAGTTTTCTGAATTTCGAACTGCATGGGACGTGCCCGCCAAGCTCAATCAAAAGTAGGGTTTGTCCTACAAGTCCTACAAGTCGGAACCTGGAATAATCCCCCAAAGTTCCAACCTGGACAAAACTTTTCCCGAGCAGCTCAACCAAAAATCCATAAACTCCCACAACAGAACCAACGCAGGAAAAGAACACTGAAATGTCCTGAAGTATCCTGAAGTTGTTTTTAAACCTTATGAAAAAATGAAAGACATCGTGAGATACCGAGCAGCCTCCCAAGCATGAGAGGCGATGATCGGCAAGAAGCCCTGCGCCGTGGGTGCAACACGAGCCCCAGCATGCGCAGAAATATACACATCCTGTATGTGTATCTGTCTGTCTGCCTCTCTGTATGATGAATGTCTGTATGGCTGTATGTCTGCCTGCCTGTCTGTATGTCTGTATGTCTGCTTGTGTGTTTGTCGGTACGTACGACGTACCTACACATGTATGCATGTACATATGCATGCACGTATGTATGTACATGTGTATACATGTATTCGCACCACTATAGCAATATCAGGTCTAGGACTGTGAGGGTCTAGGTCTATATACATGTGTATATATATATATGTGTGTGTGTGTAAATTGTACCTGCAATTTACATGTAACTGCGCATATGATCGCATATGTATACATGTATGTATATATAGATATGCATGTATTGACGCAGTGTATACACATACATATACAATATAAATGTATGAACATACGTATGTTATATATATATATATAATCAAAATATTATATATGATCATATTATGTATGTGCAGCTACATGGACATACTCACAGATCAGCATCATATAGTACAGGTGACTGCCTGTATCATAGTATATAACTATCTCTATATCCGCATCCTCGTCCCTTTGTGTTGTATTTACAGTGGCTGGGACACGCTGGTGATGAATTTGAGCATCTCTTGGATCCCAAAAGATCACATTGGAATGCGGACATGTGACTTTGGCAAGGCACGGGCATGCCAAACCATAGCAAGGCGTCAGTACAAACCATAACAATCTATAACAAACATTAATAAACATTAATAAACATTAATAAACATTAATAAACCCAAAATATGCCAGAATCTTCTTCCGGACTTCTTGACCTCACAAGAGTTGAACCCAATCATGCCATCCCTCTGTTTTCACCCATGCCCACCTCAGGCAGCCCAAGCACGGGAGACATGGCAGTGGAGTTTCTGGCCATTTCTGTCATATGTTTTTTTCAACTGCTAAGCATTGCAAGCTGTGCATATCAACTGCTCTAAAGCCTACTGGTTTGCTGGTTTTGGTTTCCCAGGTTGATCCAGGTTGATGGCCTGTTGCTCCTTAAAGTTCTGGGATCCCAAAATGGATGAAGCTGACAAAATCTCACAAACACATCAGCTAGGGCCAGGTCTTCTCAATTGTATCAATTGGTTTGAATTCGGAAATGACATAGCATCACAATGCCAATTCACGTCAGGAACAACTCGAACTCCCCAGGCTGGGTGCTGAGCTAAATTCAATGGCCCTTTGACACCTGACAGCCTCAGCTAATTCAATCTAATTCAGCGAAGTGAAGGCGCACTAAATGAATTGGTTGCAACACCAGTGACGCCACAGATCTGCTGGCTGAACATATGTGAACTTTCAACTTTGGCCAACTCATATGTCATTGAATGTCATTGAGCAATTGCTGGTGAGCAGCTTTCACGGATGAGATGCCATGAGATACCCCAACGTTGAGGGATTCGAACGGATTTGACTAAGGCTGTCGCATGGGTTCGTCGGCCTCCTTCAGGGCGAGGCGTCTGGCACGACCTGAAGCATCTGGATTTCTCACTAGCCATCGCCATCGCCGTGATCTGCGTCAAAGAAAAAGGAAGGTGACTCAAGCAAAAAGATCAAAAAGGTTTTGCAAAATTGCCACGCCCAAGTTGCAGATGTCAGCTAAATCAAGCTGGTTTTGAATCAATAGGGAACATATAGATACATATAGGATGTTCCAAATCAACCCCTAGTGTGTGACGGGATGTCTTTTGGGTCATGTCACAAGCATATCAAACATCGGTTTTATATTCAGTGAACTGTTACACAAACATAGTATTAGTATTAGTATGTATTAGTATGTATTAGTATGTATTAGTATGTATTAGTATGTATTAGTATGTATTAGTATGGCTATTATTTTGATGTATGTTGCAACATGCTAAGGCTGCTAAGGCAGGCTACAATTAAGAACATGTCATACATTGTCATACGAATACCGCACATCCAATGGCCGGAAAGAGTCTGAAAGCTCTGCATCAACGCTGAGTTTATGTGCCCAGGTTTCCGTACGCTTGCCAGACGACCGTCGGGCCTTGTATCAATGTCCAAACGCTGTAGAAAACTGCCAGATCTGCATCTTTTCCAGTATCCACTTGCTATTCCACTGTTTCCAGTCACTTGGATCAGCTTGGAGCTTTGATCCAAGATTCTCGTGGAAACGCCCACACGCACACACAAATAACGTCTTTGTCATTGCATCGTTGAAATTCGTTGAATGCATCAGCGTTTTAAGTGGCCCCATGTGCCCCCTCACTTCCGGTATATTTCCGGTCATCCTGGGGCTGCAGCACGCCATTGCGACGCCAGCGCCACAGCACCTGCAGCCATTGCTGGCACCAACGGTCGATCGGCGCCATTCACCTAGGCTCGGGCCCATTGCGTGGCCAGTGAAAGCCTAGGGCTGTAGTGGGGAGTTCAAGGTTTAACGCTTTCACAGAGGGGGTGATTTGACACAAATCTAATCAAAACACTGGATAATGAAAATGTGTCTTGACAATTGACCGCCTAAGCTGTTCGTTGAACGCCTTTGTGTAAACAGGTAATTAGGTGCTGAACATATGCCAGTTGCACATCAATAATAGGCACAGGCCGAGCGAGTTCCCTGAAAAAACAATAGGCCATCGCTTGACGGTTGCTCATTTTTTCAAAAATTATCTTTCCAACATTAGATGTCACTGCAAATTCGTTTCAACCGTTTGGAACATTCAAAAACATACCCTCGAAACCCTCCGGGCCCCACCCCTCTCAGCTTCAAGCAGGTGCCCTAGGTGCCCTAGGAACCCCCCTGGAACATGTGCACACCACAGCGCTGATCGTCATAAGAAACAAGTCGAAGATGAATATGATTTACATGGATTTACAGTCATCAGATAGTCATCAATATATCCCCAAACACAATGCCATGATGAAAATGCAAATGCACCTCGAACTCTTCTCTTACATAGCACAAGCTGCTACAAGTACTTGGCCGAAACCAGCCTCTGCAGTGGCATTTGGCTGTTTGGAGCAGAGTGCACGACCCATGGCTCCTGGAAAACGGTTTGGCAAGGGCAAGTTGCTGGCAAAGAAATCTTGGAAACGTGTACCAGCGCTTCAAAACGCACCATTGTATCAATTGTTGGATTGCATCATCTTGCATCTACCACCTTTTCCTCGAACGCGTTTATTGAACAAATATTTCACCGTGACCTTTTGAGTTTTCGTAATTCATCTACTACCTTGTTCATTTGCCGCTCCATTTGGATCAAACATCCAGCGGTGAACACCTTGTTAAACCGCAAC